TTCGGGCACGACACATGCTCGCCTGCACTGCAAAACGCGACACGGCCGTTCTTACTGGGGTGACACGTTATACCGGCGGAGAAGAACCTCGCAGGCGCCTTGCCAGCTACTCTGGTCATTTTACCTCTTGAAAAAGAGCTATTGAATCACTTCTTCAACTGAAATTTTAATCAAAGTTTTGCAATTTGGCTTTTTTTTTTCTCTGTGAGTGTGCGCTGGATTACGTATGCTGACTACTGACGATTGGAAATTACGGGGCGCGGAGAAGAAAGGGTGGAAACACTATATGCCTCATGGCAGTCCTGGAGGGGAGAGTTTGGCAGTGGGAGGGGCCAAGCGGTGGGGCGCCAGCTGGGGGGTTAAACGTGGTGGAAAACGAGTGAATGCTCGCGACAGAGCGTGTGTGTGAGAGGGAGCGAGAGAGAGAGAGAGAGAGAGAGAGAAGGAGAGAGGGGGGGGGACTGTGTTGTTGTCAGCTAGGCAGCAGCGGCGCCCCCTTCCCCCTCCCCTTGCCACGGTTCGGTTTTGACAGACCGCGGAGTGCAGATGACGTCGGCTTGACTGCATTGCGTTGAAGCGCTTCAGTAGCGATGTCACTCCTGCCGCACACAGTGGGCCAGACGACCGGTGGAGGCGGCCAAAACTCTAAACGCGTTATTAGCTCAAGAGTCGCTTAATGGGACTCGAACCGAACGTGTGGCCCCACCAATACACTAGATTCCTCGTTCGGAGATCAATCCATTGGTGGGGTCACACGTTCCTTTCGAGTCACGAGCGACTCTGGAGCTGGAGGTTTTGGCCGCCTGGCCCACAGCGCATATGAAAAATTCGCCGTCACGGCGAAGGCTCCGCCACAGGCGCCCCCCGCCGGGGAAAAGATGACAGTAAAATGTCTTTTTGTCGATGCTTCCTGATAATGAGGCCCTCGCCCCATCTGCTTGATCGATTCCCCCCCAAGGCGGGGAGGCCCGGGCCCCGCGCGGGGCTCTCAAAGTTTGCCGGCGACACATTTTGAGTATGGCTGATGTACTTTGCGAAAACAGGGGAAACGACTCAGAAACAAGCAAGCCGCTCTGATGGAGGATCAGAAAGGGAGCACAGTGGGCCAGGAGACCGGTGGAGGTGGCCAAAACTCTTGACGCGTTTCGAGCTCCAGAGTCGCTAAATGGGAGTCGAACCAAACGAGTGACCCCACCAATGGATTCCTCGTTCGGAGAGCAACCCACCAGTACCCTCGTGTGTTCGATTCGAGCCCATTTTGAGGACCGTGGATCTAAAAACAAGTTCATCGACACAGGTCGCCTGCGAGCGGCCCCAAGAGTCGTGTCGTCGCCTCGTCTCTCTCGCACTCCTGCGAGACGCCCCAAGGACGAGAGAGAGAGAGAGAGAGAGAGAGAGGAGGGAGGCTCATCTGCCGCTTTTCCTCGTTAGTCAGGCTAATGTGGGCGAGATTTAATTTGCCTACTTGCGCCCTTGAAAACCACGGCGTCATGCCCCCCCCCCTCTTTCCAATCCTCTTACTGTTACGGGATTCCAGGCGCCAGTCCGCTTACTTCTCAGTGAAGCGAACCGAGAACAGCGCCTCTGCGCGACGCACAGCGGGCTTGAAGATCGGCGCAGGCGGCCGAAGCTCTAGACGCATTTTGAGCTCCAGAGTCGGTAAATGTGACTCGAAGCGAACGTGTGACCCCACAAATGGATTGCTCGTTCGGAGAGCAATCCGTCAGTGGGGTCACACGTTCGGTTCGAGTCCCATTTAGCGACTCTGGAGCTCAAAACGCGTCCAGAGTTTGGGCCGCCTCCACCGGTCTTCTGGCCCACTGTGCGGTCCCCAGACGCGACCCCGTTTTCGGACGGTCCCCAGACGTGCCGTCGTTATCTCCAGTTACGCCCTGCGTCGCCGTCATTTGAATTCTGGACAAATAACACAATTATTATTGCGGCCCCCCTCCGGCCCCTCTTCGGCCCTCCACAGTGCTGCTGCCCTTTTTAGCCCCCTAAGCCCCCCGCCGCCCCCCTCAACCCCTTCCCCACATCGATCGCGGCTTTTTCACACACATACACACACTTGCACTCTCTCTCTCTCTCTCTTCCCCCCCCCCCCTCTATCTCTCTTTCTCTCTCTCTCTCTCTCTTTCTCTCTCTTTCTCTCTCTCTCTCTCTTTCTCTCTCTCTCTCTCTCTCTCTCTCCTTCTCTCTCTCTCTCTCTCTCTCTCTCTCTCTCTCACACACACACCCACACACCCACACACACACACGCACTTGCACACTGCAGCGTGCTCATCTTCCCGCGGTCCCGACGGCCTCTGCTAATTGCAGCCTCTGCTTTTGCCGCCGCGAGGCAGAGGCCCGCTGCAGCAGACCGATTCTGCGAGGCGCCCCGCCCGCGAGTGCGAGAGAGACAGAGAGACGCGGCGCGGGACTTTGCCCGCCTTTGGTGGCCGAGGCACGGGGTGCCGCGGCTGTGGCCGACGCCGCCGAGGCATAGCTCTGCCGGGTCAGCGAGCACGCAACACGCCCCGCAAAAAGCCAACCGGATAAATTGTTGTGAATCTGTCATTCAGTTGGCCAGAAGGCGGTCAAAATCCCGGACGCGCGTTGGACTCGAACAGAACGTGTGACCCCACCAATGGATTGCTCTCTGAACGAGGAATCCATTGGTGGGGTCACACGTTCGGTTCGAGTCCTGTGAAGCGACTCTGGTGTTCAAAACGCGTCTAGAGTTTTGGCCACCTCCGCTCTGTGTGTCATCGGTACTCCTATGAAAAATGACGTTCTTGTTTTCCCGTTTCGGTAGTCAGGTTTCGAATCCCGTGAGAAACAAAGCTACCCATTTTTAAAAAAATGTGTTTACACGTGTAGGGCAGGGCTTGATAAATGCGTGTGTGTGCGTGAGTCTGCGCGCGCGTTCTGCATGTGGGGCGCAGGCAGGGTGTTGTATTAGCGGGGCTACTGGGGGCGTCGGTTTGTGATCCCAAGATTTAGCGAGAGATTTGTGTGACGTCGGGGCCCTCCCCCACCCCTTCCCTCCCCCTCCCCTCCCCTCGCGTACGTGCCCCGCTGTCGGGGGAAATTAAAATGCAGCGAGTCGGGTGGCTGCGCGTGGCCCCGTGGCCCGCGCCCCGTCGCTCTGTCTCTCTCGCACCCCCGCGGGCCGCCCCGCGAGTGCGAGAGAGACGACGCGACCGCCCTTTCGGCGTCGCCCCGCACAGTGGGCTAGAAGATCGGTGGAGGCGGACACAGCTCCGGACGCGCTTTGAGCTCCAGAGTCGCTAAACAGGTCTCGAACCGAACGTGTGACCCCACCAATGGATTCCTCGTTAGGAAAGCAATCCATTGGTGGGGTCACACGTTCGGTTCGAGTCCCATTTAGCGACTCTGGAGCCCAAAACGCTTCTAGAGTTTTGGCCGCCTCCACCGGTCTTCTGGCCCACTGTGCCCCGCCGCTAGTGAACTGTGCAAAGTGCGCGTCGCGCGTCGGAAACGCTCGGGAAAAGGAGACTTATGGTTCGGCCGCCTCCGAGATGGCGTCACTGCCCTCCATTCCCCACGCGGAATTCAACACTTGATATTGCATTTCATTTTACATTTCTTGGCAGTGTCGCGTTTCGGAAGCGTGCGCGTTGTTTGTCTTCCTTAGGCCGAGCGGCCAAGACGTGGTCGTTTCCGCGGCCCGGCTCGCCCTCGGCAAGGCCCTCGGCCTGCCCGCTGTTAGCGCACTTGTGCCGGGAAGGGGACGCGTCGAATGGCAATTATGAACGATGCCTCTCTCTCTCTCTCTGTCACCCTCTCCCTCTCTCTCTCTCTAACTCTCTCTCTCACTCTCTCTCCCTCTCTCTCTCTCTCTCTCTCTCTCTCTCTCTCCCCCCTCAGAGCACTGCTGGCGCGTGATTCGGGTGTGAGGGAGCGTCCGTAAATGCCCTGTCGAAAATCCCACCCTCACCACCACCATCCACCCATTGCTTGATCGCGTCACGCTAAAAATATAGTTTTTCCCACACTCTAAAAAGTAAGCAGGGCGGAATTGTGTGTCATGGTTTACACGTGACTCAGAGCGGCCCCCTTGAGGGCAGTACACACGAGCTCGTAGTGAAACTGGTCCTGGTCCTTGTTATGGTGAAATTTATCTACATTATGGTGGTACAGCTGACTTTTTTTCTGCCCTTTACAAATTTACTGCATCCTATAGATATTTTACCAAGTTCTTTTGATAATCTCCGTCATAATATGTTGGTTTAGCGTTTTCACCGTAAGAAATGCATTTAGAGTGTACTCGACACCACTACTACACTGTCGGACGGAAGCGCGGCCAATATTCCGCGACTCCTGGTTTCCTGCCAGCTTCTTTTCCCCCACCTAATTGGCATTTTTAATCGCGGGGAGGGGAGTGGGGGGAGGGGCGGTGGTGGGGGTAATGAGGGGGCTCCGCAAATCTGCATAATGATGATAAAGCGCACCAGCACCCCCCCCCCCCCCCCTCTCTCTCTCTCTCTCTCTCTCTCTCTCTCTCTCTCTCTCTCTCTCTCTCTCTCTCTCTCTCTCTCTCTCTGTCTCACACAGCCAATATGAGGGACAGAGAGAGAGAGGAGAGAGGACCAAAAGATGCGCCCGATGCGCTCGCTGTACGCTCGTTGCGGGGAGATTTGTAGCGAAGCTAATGCACTGAAGCAAAACAAAAGCACAAAAAAATGAAAAAGCAGAGTTAACTCGAATATACTTTCTACTTTTTCACATATTTTTAAGTGCGTTACCAATTTGGTTCGTTCGGCAGCTGCTCGGCCACCACTGTCATTTAAACAATCTGAAAATTCAGACAGAAATTTTCCCAGACACTTGAACTGACCGGTGTGTAGTATTGTGCCCAATATGAGTTCTGAAACCGAGAACATGTGTCTCACATTGAAAAAGTGCTTTCAGATGTACCGAGAGCTGTGAGCAGTATGGACGCAGGCTGCGGAATACGTCTCTGTCTGGTTCTTAGCAGTGACGTTGCGTTGCAGGTGAACGGGCGGGACGTGTCCCCGCACGAGGCGGCCCGGGCGCTGCGCGCCTCGGACGACCCCCTGGTGGTGACGCTGAAGCGCATGAAGCTGGCGGGCACGCCGCCGCCGGCCGCGGCCTCGTCGCCGCCCTCGCCGTCCGGGACGACGTCCGGGACGACGGCCACCCCGACGACGCCCTCCGCCACGGTGGCGGCCTACGCCACCGCCTCCGTGGAGGTGCAGACCGACGACCTGTGGTCCGACTGGGCCGCCGAGGACGCCGACGGCGCGCCGGAGCGCAGCCTCCACGACATCCTGGAGCAGGACATCGACCTGGAGGTGAGGCTGCACTGTTTGCACCGCACACGGAGTCAGCAGACCGGTGGAGGCGGCAAAACCTCTTGACGCGTTTTGAGCTCCAGAGTCGCTAAACAGGACTCTAACCGAAAGTGTGACTCCACCAATGGATTCCTCGTTCGGAAACCAATCCATTGGTGGGGTAACACGTTCGGTTCGAGTCCCATTCAGCGACTCTGGAGCTCAAAACGCGTCTTCAGTTTTGACCGCCTCCACCGGTCTGCTGGCCCACTGTGCACTTGTTTCGAAAGTTCAAAACTGACGATGTTTTACGGTGTGCAGGAGGTGACGCTGGTGCGCAGCGAGGTGGAGGAGACCCTGGGCATCACGCTGTCCTGCTCCTGCAGCTCGGGCTCGGACGACCTGGACACCGAGGTGTACATCGCGGCCGTGGAGCCCAGCAGCCTGGCGGGCCGCGACGGCCGTCTGCAGCGCGGCGACCAGATCCTGCAGGTGAGACAGACAGACAGACAGACAGACAGACAGACATACTGATAGATAGACAATGCCTACAATAGCCACCAGCAGGTGGGTGGCCCTCGCCCCTCACAGTGCTGCCACATTGGTAGCGACAAAAAAAATCCCACGATGCATCAGTGTCAAAAGGGTTGCCAACCTCAGCCTGCCTACCAGGCAACTGCTCGACAGCGAAGCCAAGGTGTTGCCGAGTAGCCAGGCTGAGCTTGGCAACCCTTTCGGCACTGGTGCATCGTAGCATCTTTGAGGCACTCCTCCGCTCCCATTTGGCTCGCTTTTGACGTGAGAATGCTCTCCTTCCTCCTCCAGGTGAACGGCGAGGACGTGACCACCAGGGAGCTGGCCGAGCACATGTTCAACAGTCCAGCCAACTCCATCACCCTCCTCGTCAGCCGATATTTCTCGGAGGTAAGCTGCTACCTAAAAAAAAACGCCCGCCAAGGCTTAGCCAAGCTGTCTCTTGTATAGAATCCGTACATAAGTTTAAAATTCAATGGAAAAAGGAAAAAAAAGCATGAAAAAAAATTAAATTGATATTATTTTCTGATGGAGATGGTAAATTGATTGCGTTGCGTTCCAGGACGAGCCCGACGACGAGGAGCTCGAGTCCTGTCCGCGACCCTCGTGCGGGAAGCCCATCAAGCCCAGAACGCCCACCCACGCCAAGCAGTTCCACTCGGGCAGGGACACTCCAGGTGAGCCAGCGCACAGTGGGCCAGAAGACCGGTGGAGACAGCCAAAACTGTGGACGCGTTTTCAGCTCCAGAGCCGCTGAATGGGACTCGAACCGAACGTGTGACCCCACCAATGGATTGCTCTCCGAACGAGGAATCCATTGGTGGGGTCACGCGCTCGGTTCGAGTCCTGTTTAGCGACTCTGGAGCTCAAAACGCGTCGAGAGTTTTGGCCGCCTCCGCCAGTCTTCTGGCCCACTGTAAGCCGCCAAAAAAATGTTAACAAATTAAAGTGGAAATCTAAAGTGTGTTTTGAGCTTTGAGGACATAATTGTTATTTTCCCGTTTCCCCCGCAGACGACGGCTCGACGGACAGGCGTTCGGACGGGTCCAGCGACCGGCGCTCGGACGGCTCGACAGACAGGCGGTCGGACACGTCGACGGACAGACGCTCGGACTGCTCGGACACCACCGCCACCACGGCCTACATCAACGTGCAGCCGGCCGCCGCGCCCGGCGTGGTCGCCAAGGCCCCGGCCAACGGGCCGCCCTCGGGCACGCCGACGTCCGCCTCGGTCAGGAGAAAAGAGTCGTCCAAGCGGCCGGCCGGCGACGACAGCAACAAGTGAGTTCCCAGCGACTTCGTCGCTCTGTCTCACAGTGGGCCAGAAGACCGGCACCGGCGGCCTTAACCGCAGACGCGTTTTGAGCTCCAGAGTCGCTACACAAGAGTCGAACCGAGCGTGTGACACCACCAATGGATTCCTCGTTCGGACTGCAATCCATTGGTGGGGTCACACGCTCGGTTCGACTCTTGTGTAGCGACTCTGGAGCTCAAAACGCATCCGGGATTTTGACAGCCTCCACTGGTCTTCTGGCCCACTGTAGCCCCTAACACGTACTATCTCTAACGCCCTACTCTTCCCCCAGTGCCCCCGCGCCGCCCGGCTCCGCGGTGGCCTCCAGGAGGTCGCAGCGGACGCTGCCGCCGACAGGTGCCGCCAACGGCGGTCCCCCGGGGTCGCGGTCCACGACGCGGTCCTTGCCAGGCTCCCTCCCCGGCGTGGCCGCGCACCCGCTGCGCGCGCCCAGCAGCGAGCACATCTACGAGACCATCCCCGAGTCGGACTCCGAGCACATCTACTGCGAGCCCTACGAGCCCACCGCGGAGTACACCAACGTGGTCAACGGGCAGCCCCCACGGCCCCTGCTCACGCTGCAGCTGAGAAACGTGAGTCGTTGTCACCGAGGTTAAGTCGGCGCTGGCGGCCAAAAGTCTACACGCGTTTTGAGCTCTAGAGTCGCCAAATGAGACTAGAACCAAACGTGTGACCCCACCAATGGATTCCTAGTTAGCAGGGCAATCCATTAGTGGGGTCACACGTTCGGTTCGAGTCCCATTTAGCGACTCTGGAGCTTAAAACGCGTCTAGAGTCTAGGCCGCCTCCACCGGTCTTCTGCCCCACTGATCCTGGCCCGCCTGGCGAATCTCGCCGCCAACCTGCACCTCGTTCCCACCAACCTGAACTCTCCTCCCGCAGGGCCGCGAGGACAGGGCGACGCTGAGGCTGGGTCCCACGGCCGCGTCGCAGGCCTCGCCGTCCGGGAGGCAGTCGGGCGGCTCCTCCTCCGGGCCGTGCTCCACCATGTACACCAACGCCGCCAACCTGCAGCACACCATCGAGGTATGGAACGCGTGGAGGCGGCCCAAAGACGCGTGCAGAGCTCCAGAGTCGCTAAATGGGACTCGAACCGAACGTGTGACCCCACCAATGGATTCCTCGTTCGGAGAGCAATCCATTGGTGGGGTCACACGTTCGGTTCGAGTCCCACTTAGCGACTCTGGAGCTCTAAACGCGTCCGGGACTTCAGCCGCCTCTTCTGGCCCACTGTGCACTGTTTGAACCTAGCCGCTGACCTCCATGACGGTGCACAGGTGCAGCAGGAGCTGTTCCGCCAGAGCCTCCGGCAGACGACGCCGACGTCCAGCAGCCGGCCGCCGCTGCCGCTACCCTCGCCGTCGTCGGCGAGCAGGCACCGGGGCTTGACGTTCCCGCAGCCTCCAGTGTGCCCGTTCCCGCCGCCGCCGCCGCCCGTCCCCGCCGCGCCCGCGCCCAGCGACGCCAAGATGGAGTGGAAGGTGAAGCGGCGCGCCGACGGGTCGCGGTACATCACCAGGAGGCCCGTCAGGACCAGGGTGATCCGGGAGGCGCTGCGGGACCGCGCCGCCCAGCTCCGCGACGAGCGCGCTGGCTTCTCCACCGAGGACGACACCGCGTCCGAGCTCAAGGTACGGGCCGCGCGGGATCCTCGCGGTTTGAGCTCCAGAGTCGCTCAACTGGACTCGAACCAAGCTCGTGACCCCACCAATGGATTCCACGTTGGGAGAGCAATCCATTGGTGGGGTCACACGTCCTGTTCGGGTCCCATTTAGCGACTCTGGAGCTCAAAACGCGTCCGCGAGTTTGGCCGCCTCCACCGGTCTTCTGGCCCACTGTGCGCCGCCTGACTTGTCGCTCTGCCTGCAGATGGGGCGGTACTGGACCAAGGCGGAGCGCAAGCAGCACGTGCGCCGGAGAAGGCAGCAGCAGGTGACGCTGGACGCGCTGGAGCAGCCCAAGCAGAGCCTGCACGTCGAGGAGGACGGCGCGCGTCGCCAGGGCGCCGCGGCGGACCCCCAGCACGCCCAGCAGCCCGGCCACAAGAAGACGGCGAGGAAGAAGAGCAACCTGAGCAACGTCGACGACTTCAAGACAGTGCAGGAGCTGCTGGCCCAGGGCAGCCGGGCCACAGTCAACGCCAAGATGCTGGGGCTCTTGTCCGTAACGACAGTGTGATAATTGTGTTCTAGCTGACCTCTACCGGTCTCTTAGCGGTCCATGTCATTTAATTTCTCGGATAGATTCAGGGCTGTCCCATGTTCCATTTTTTGTTTTTGTGTAAGACTAAGTTTCATTACCTCTGTATCGTAACATTCCTCCTTTCCAAGTCATGATGTATGTTCAGTTTGTCCATCGTTTGCAAAGCGGTCTTCTGTTTTGAACTTTGGTCTTGATTTGTGAAATTTAATTTCCTAGAGGAATAAGATTATTGTGATTCAAAAAGTCAACTAAGTATGTACTTGATTATGTTTCAGCCTTATGATATATTATTGTAAGAGAGGGAAGGTGTTCTGTTTTAGTGATGAAGTTATTTTGTACAATTTTTGATGGGGTAATGTCCTGCGTAGTATGTAGTTGTGCCAGAAAGTGCTCTATGTCATTAGAAATGTAATTTAAATTACTCTTTGTTTGGTGAAAAATGTTACCACGTTCATTACATGGAAAAGAATAAACCTCGATCAGATAAATAAGTTTGTTATTTTTCACGTATAAAAGTACAAAACATTTAGGCTTTGTTGACCGAGTTTTAGAGCGAAGAGCCGATTCATTGCTGTGTTTGTGGTTTTATTTTGGAAAACTTCAAGGCATCCAGGAGGTGGAGATGGCCCCGGGGAGCAGCGCGGACGGCGGGTCGACGCGGGAGTCGTCGAACTTGATGACGATGTCCTGGACGGCCATGCTCTGCGTGAGGAACGAGTCCAGGGTGGTGCCGGCGGGGAAGGCGCGGTCGAAGGGGTAGCCCATGGCCCGCTTGTCGGGGTAGTAGGTGCTTCCCGGAACGCCGCAGAAGGACCAGCCGTCGTGGCAGATCTCGTCGGCGGAAGCAGGGGCCTGCAAAGGCACAGGTCACAAGTTCAAATACCCATCAACTTTTTTTTTCGGGCTGACTTTTGAACTGTCGCACAGTGGACCAGAAGACCGGTGGAGACCGTCAAATTTCCGGACGTGTTTTTAGCTCCAGGGTCGCTAAATGGAACTCGGAATGAACATTTGACTCCACCAACGGATTGCTCTCCGAACGAGGGATCCGTTGGTGGTCACACGTTCGGTTCGAGTCCCATTTAGCGACTCTGGAGCTCAAAACGCGTCTGGGACTTTGGCCGCCTCCACCGGTCTTCTGGCAAATCCACTGTGGCGCCGCCTCGGCGCTTACCCTGTCCTGGGAGTAGTCGGTGACCATGGCGAACAGCTTGTAGGTGATGCCGGTCTCGTTGCCCCTGGGGATGAGCAGGGTCTGCGGCCAGCCGCAGCGACACTGGTTGACGCGGCGCGCGTTGAAGAGCGTGGACTGCGTCGAGTAGATGGCGTCCTGGTCCAGCGTCACCGGCGTGGCCGTCGACTCGCGGACGATGTTGTTCTCGCCGGGCGCCACTGTGAAAAGGGAACCGACAGTGCAGTCACGGCCCCGAAGACCGCCACCAGTGCAAAGTGTGCCGGCGAGAAGACCGGTGGAGGCCGCTAAAAACCCCGGACGCGTTTTGAGCTCCAGAGTCGCTAAATGGGACTCGAACCGAACGTGTGACCCCACCTATGGATTCCTCGTTCGGAGAGCAATCCATTGGTGGGGTCACACGCTCGGCTCGGGTCCCATTTAGCGACGCTGGAGCTCAAAACACGTCCGGGGTTTTTAGCGGCCTCCACCGGTCTTCTGGCCCACTGTGCAGTGTGTCACCCGCCCGGAGACTTACGGGCTACTTCGAAGCGGTCCATCTCGATGGCGAAGCGCTGCACGAAGGAGAGGTCCAGGTCGTGGCCGTTCTCGTCGGACACCATCAGCAGAAACAACCTCACCAGGCCGCTGCGCTCTTGCAGGTCCGTGTTCGTGACCTGTGGCGTTCCCTCGAGGTTAATGCCTCATCCCTTCCAATTTTTATTTTCTTTTGTTTTTATCAAGGGGAAGTAACTTAGAATTTAAGAGTACAAAGTTGATAATTCCAATTGAATTTTGAATGAATTTCAGTAAAAAGAGGGCCTAATATATCTGAATTTCGGTATAAATTTCACTAGTTTTTGAAGAATTTCTATGAATTTCGACTAAATTTCATTAATTTTGAATAAATTTGGTTAAAATTCAAGATTGTCCATAAACTTTGGTGCACAATTATTTTTTTTAGTTGTTTTCCCTTGATGTTCATGACGGGATGTTGACCACTTTTACCTGGATCTGGTAGGTGAAGCGCTCGTGCTGCAGATGCCTGAAGCGGCCGTAGACCCTGCCGGTGGGGGTGTAGGCCAGCCCCAGGCTCAGGTCCAGGTCGGACTCCTGCCAGAAGGTGTGGAGCTCGTTGACGGTCTTGGTGACGTCGGACGTCACGGACACGCCCGTCACGGTCACGTAGTCCCACGTCAGCTGCGGGGACGAGCGGAGGCGTAAGCAGATGCCGGGGAAACGCTCAGAGGTAAATCAGACGAGCTCCACAGTCGCTTAAATGGGACTCGAACCGAACGTGTGACCCCACCAATGGACTGCACTCCGAACGAGGAATCCATTGGTGGGGTCACACGTCCGGTTCGAGTCCTGTTTAGCGACTCTGGAGCTCGAAACGCGTTCAAGAGTTGTGTCCGCCTCCACCGGTCTTCTGGCGCACTGTGAAACGGGCCCCCCGTACCTCGTTCTTCTCGTAGGGCTGCAGGTACTTGGTCTTGTACTCCTCGTACAGGTCGTCCATGTGCAAGTGCAGGCGGTAGAAGCCGATATCGCGGACCGTCAGCAGCACCGACATGGTGGAAATGGGCTCCTGCGCAACCGATTGAGATTTACAGATTCGTTTCACTTGTCGCTGTGCGTACACTAGAAGTTGCTAGTCGGGGTGGCGACGCCGAGCGAAGCGCCCGCGAAGTGGCGGATAGCCTGCCCGCAACACACCGGCACGCGACGGGCCGGCCGCACGCCGGGCTGAGTCAGCGGGCGGCCAAAGTCCCGGACGCGTTTTGAGCTCCAGAGTCGCTGAATGGGACTGAAACCGAGCGTGTGACCCCACCAATGGATTGCTCTCCGAGCGAGGAATCCATTGGTGGGGTCGCACGTCCGGTTCGAGTCCTGCTTAGCGACGCTGCAGCTCAAACCGCGTCTAGAGGTTTTGCCGACGGCGCCGGTCTTCTGTCTGGCCCACTGTGAGACACCACCTCCTCTCTCTCTCACTCACGAAGTTCTGGCTGAGCGGGTCGTGCGCGTTGCCCATGACGCCGTGCAGCTGGTTGTGGATGGTGCCGTAGAAGTCCAGGTTGGGCGACAGCAGCGCGTTGGCCTCCAGGGCGTTGGCCACCGTGTCGAGGCCCTTGATGCCCACCAGCTCGATCTGGTTGCCCTCGGGCTGCGCGAAGGGTCAGCATTGTCACTCCAGGTTGCGTTAGGTTCAAGTACACTACGTAGGGTGTCCAGAAACTGGGCGCCTTTGACGCCTAACCCACTTTTTAAAGTGCCAAATGTCGCCCAGTTTCTGGGCACCTTTGTCGCCTAGTCTTGGGGTGGACAAACCATTAAGGAACCTGCCTTCACCCATGGCTCAGCAGCGACTAAGGTGCCAAAGGTGCCCAGAATCTGGGCACCTTAGTCGCCCAGGAACTAGACACCTGTGCATGCTCTATCATGGGAGAAGGCCGGTTACTGCATGATTAGTCCACCCCGAGACTGGGCGACAAAGGTGCCCAGAAACTGGGCGACATTTGGCACCCTAAAAAGTGGGGCAGGCGACAAAGGCGCCCAGTTTCTGGGCACCCTACATTTAGAGTGTAGTTTTCGAAAATGTCGAAATACTCACCGTCACGAAGTAGCCTTGATCCAGCACCTGCCGGTAGCGGTCGTGCCACGTGTCAAGTTGGGCGATGGATGTCTCTTGGGGCTGCGGACCAACGAGTGGGTTAAGTTGGTGGTCGTTTTCGGCGACTGCCCAGGGGCAAGACGCACAGTGGGCCAGAAGACCGGTGGAGGCGGCCAAAATTCTCGACGTGTTTTGAGCTCCAAAGTCGCTAAGCACAACTCAAACCGGACGTGTGACCCCACCAATGGATTCCTCGTTCGAAGAGCAATCCGTCGGTGGGGTCACTCGTTCAGTTCGAGTCCCATTTGGTGACTCAGTGGCTCAAAACGCGTCTAGAATTTTGGCCGCGTCCTCCGGTCTCCCGGCGCGCTGCGTGACGGGACTCCCGAGCGCGTGGCTAGCGTGGCCGCTTACCAGCAGAGAGGTGTTGGCCTGGCGCGCGGGGTAGCCTATGCGTTGGTGCAGGTCCAGCATGTGGGGGAAGAAGGCCTCGGCCACGGGCTCCTTGTACTCCAGGGGCAGCAGGCGCGGCGCGCCGTTGGCGAACCTCTCCGCGTTCAGTCTGCAAACCGAAAGGTGAAACACTCAGACGCTACTCCGCGCGTGAGGCTCTCCGCGCGAGGGGTATCGCCGAGTCGCCCCTCGCCACGCCGCACAGTGGAGGCGGCCAAAACTCTCGACGCGTTTTGAGCTCTAGAGTCGCTAAATGGGATTCGAACCGAACGTGCTAGGTTAGGTTCGAAGAGCAATCCGTTGGTGGGGTCACACGTTCGGTTCGAGTCCCATTTAGCGACTCTGGAGCTCAAAACGCGTCTAGAGTTTTGGCCGACTCCGCCGGTCCGCTGTGGGTTGGCCTTACCTGCCGAGCATCTGCCGGTGGAAGTAGACGAAGAGCTCGCCGCGGCGGTCCCGGTCGACGTACTCGTCGTCGTCGTAGCCGGGCGGGTAGTTGATGTGCCAGCGCCAGTGGAACACGTTCAGGTGGGTGTCCTCCAGCCAGTACCAAATCTTGCCCTCGGCGGTGTCCGTCTGCGTCTCGTTCCTCAGGACGGGGATCACCACCTGCAGCAAGAGGGTGGCGTCACTCAGTGGAACCGGAGACCGGCGCCGGCCGCCACGACTCTTGATAGGTTATGAGCTCTAGAGACGCTAAGCAGGACTCGAACCGAGCGTGTGACTCCACCAATGGACTCCTCGTTCGGAGAGCAATCCATTGGTGGGTCACACGTTCGGTTCGAGTCCCATTTAGCGGCTTTGGAGCTCAAAACGCGTCTAGAGTTTCAGCCGCCTCCACCGGCCGTCTGGCACACTGCGCGCCAGCGCGTCAGCTCCGAACAATGGGAACACATTAGGCGAAAAGTCGATGCTGAACGTACCCGCTGGCCGTCGGGGACGATGTACATCTCCTCCTCGACCTTGGAGAACCACTTGTCATCGATGAACATCTCCGGGTGGTACTGCGTGACCTCGGGCATCTGCACGCCCTGCTGCGCCCCGGACTTGCGCACCAGGTTGGCGCGCAGCCCGTCCAGGACGACCTCGGGGTGGTAGCGCAGGCGGGCCCACACGGCACGCGCCAGCAGCTCGCCGTTGGAGGTGGTGTCTGCGACAGGGACCGGGTTCGAGTACAGGCAGGGGCACTATTTTTTTTTCGCGGTAGGGGGCGCTTAGGGTGCGCAGTGGCTCATAAGGAGGCGGCCAAAATTCGGTACGCGCTTTGAGCTCCAGAGTCGCTAAATGGGACTCGAACCGAACGTGTGACCCCACCAATGGATTGCTCTTCGCACGAGGAATCCGTTGATGGGGACACAAGTTCGGTTCTAGTCCCATTTAGCGACTCTGGAGCTCAAAACGCGTCTGGAATTTTGAGCGCCTCCACCGGTATTCCGGTCCACTCCGAGGTGTACGGGGCATTGTTTGGAAAAGGATAGGAGCTCTGAATGAGCTCATGTCCACCATGTGTAGTGCACTTGAGATAGAGTACGTATAGAGCACACTCGTACGGTTGATTGAACCAGGTGTGTTCGGGGCTCAGTCGCGTCGCACTCTAGTCTCAAGTCCACGGAATTGCGCCGCGATAAAATGCGATTCCAAGCCGGACTGAATGATGGAACATTTTCGCGTAGTTTGGCCCGGCCGGCCGGGGGCAGTCGCGTCGGGATGCGATACTCACTGCGGAAAAAGTGCTCGAAGCGGACGGCGATGGTGATGTGGGGCGGCGCGGCGCGCGAGTACTTCTTGTCGCGGTAGGGCAGCGCCACCTCCACGTCGGCGAAGGCCGCCTCGTACTCGGTGAGGTCCACGTAGGGCACCGGGATGAGGCGCACGCCGTTCTGGCGCGCCGTGGCCGCGATGGCGGCGGCCACTTGCTTGTAGCGCTCAGGCTGTGGAGGAATTTTAAATAAAAAAAATTAAGAAATTATTGAAAAAAAATATGGAATTTTGAGAATTTTTTTAAATGAAAATTTTGAAACGATCTTTAAAAAAATATTTTCACTTTTCAAAAAAAACTTAAAACTTTTCAAAAAAAAGATAAAAACTTAAAAAAAAAACGAAATTTAAAACTTTTTAAAAGATTTTAAAAACTGAAGAATATCAGTAAGGTGAAAAAAGGATTGCTTTTACTGGGGTTTGAACCCGCGCCCTCACCAAGTACTGCTCAGGGACATCGTAGGCGACGTCGCGGTTGACTCCGCGGAGCGTGAAGACTGGTTCCGGCGGCCTGTCGAACAAGTACAGCAAGTCGGCCCCGGCCACGTTCACGTTGTCGGCCCCTAGCCTGTGGGGGGCGGCCAACTGGCCCTTGTTGGGGTTCACGACGGCGGGCTTGGGCTTGGTGGCGGCGCACGCCGCCAGGGCCAGGGCCGCGGCCAGGACGACGAGCTGTGCCTTCATGGTGCGCGCCTGGCGAGCTGCTGCAACTGCCCCCTCGAGGAGCGGACGCCGCTTTTATGGGAGCGTCGCGGTGTCGCCCAGCCCTGCAGATTCGCCAGATAATTCACAGGTGCGTCGGTCGCTCCTCGCGAGTCAGGGCATGACTGTTCGATCCGGGCTACTCCCTGTAATCCTGCAGTAAAGGGGCCTCCATGCATGCGCCTTCTAGCGCCACGGCTGCAGCTGCAGCGGAGGGTCGTGCACGCACATCGCGCATGTACGATGGAATGAATACTGTAATGTGTGGTAACGCGAGGGGGTGAACATTCGCGTAATACCCCGTACACAAAAACCGTGTACGCGTATTAAACGTGACCTTAATTCCATTTTTGGGGCAAACGTGCCAAATTTTGGCATTTTAAGGCATTTAAAGGCGTTACACGTGTTATGACCCCGTAATACCGCGTAATACCGAGTAGTCTGTACGCGACTTTTGGCTGATTTTTCTTGCTACCTAAGTTCATTTGGTAATATTTATGAATTTTTAACGACAGTATACGAGTAATCCTCGAAGTAATCTGCGTGTACGAAGTTATATGCGGGTTTGCGACCCCTCGAGGACCAGCCACTGACGCTGCGCCCTCCAACTCAAAGCAATGAATTGGTAAAACTGAAGTGGAGTAGTGTGCGCTTCAAGCTTACAACTACGCTGGAAGACTTTGCTCTCGAAGTCAAGGGGGTATGCACTCGGCGTTATAGTAGGGTCGTAAGGAAGCGTCATAGTACGCGTTTTAGTAGCGTAATAGCTGAAATAATACAACTTTCACCTATTTTTGTGAGCTATATCAAGTTAAGGAAAGAGAAGGTTTTGAGCCAGCGCTGGCGCTGGCGCTGGAAGGTGAGGGGCAGGGAGGGGTATCGCTGCGTCTGGCTTAAGCCAGCTTGAGCGCGACCGCCTCCCTGCCCCTCACCTTCCAGCGCCAGCGCCAGCGCTGGCTCAAAACCTTCTCCTTTCTTAACTTGATATAGCTGTGGTGTTTTGGCGTGTCCCGGAGTGATTTTAGCTAAATAGTATTTATTATTTTGAGACAAAATAGCGCGTGATAGCACAATAGTCCGGTCACCGATTTTGATAGTGCATACCCCCTCGATTTGAATCGAACGGAAATCACAGACTTCACTCTGTACTCGTGTTTTACCTACGGCGTAGTAAAGATCAAAGCCACGTTCTCGAAGCTTCGTTTGCGCAGGGTGACCACAGGATCGGGAAAACCTGGAAAACCGGGAATTAACCGGGAACAAAAAATAGAGCCGGGAAATGCGGGAAATACCAGGGAATTTTTTAAAAGTTAAGCAAAAACCGGGAAAAAGTTCCTATGTAAGTTAAACACTTCTCGCGCCTCAAAAAGCAGTGAAATGAAGAGACTTTGCGCGTGGGCGGTCGTCTTCCGTCGCGGCGGCCCGGTGGACAAGGCGAGCCGTCACTATAGCATTGTTGTGGGTACTCTTGTCTTTACCACAAGCACATGGATGCACTGATTTCTTAATTCTGGGCCATCTGAACCTTTTAAATGCGGATATGACCCGACATGCACCTCCTTCAGGTAAAAAATCAACTGTGGGTCACCTTTTTGAAAAATGTTAATTTAAAATGTTAGTTTGAACAAGTAGCCAAAGTAGCTTCAAAACGTTTAAATATGATCTATTGGCTTTGTTTTGCAGCAAAGCAGCCCAGTCGGTCGTCCTCGTTTACTGAGCAACGGCCGTTTTAAAAGCACGCCGTTTCGGCCTACAATTGATTTTTGCAACCATTTGTGGGTCAGCAATTTTTAAAGCTACCCGTGCGCCAAGCCTTGCACAACTTTTGCCAAGCTTAGGTTGACTTATGGTTCTTCAGTTATTTCACACCTGAATCGGCAAGGGCGTCCCCCTTCATTCCATTATTCGATTTTTTGAAAAATATCTTTTGTTCTTTTTTCTTGCCCTTGAACAGGCCCAATTTTCGTCGAATTTTGAAGGTCTCTCTTTGCTGCCCGATAGGTGGCGTTATGGTCGTAGCTCAATCATCCGCGCTGTTTCAGGTGTCAAAGGAAGGTTGAGGGAACACTGTTAAAAATTGTTGTTTTAAAACAACAACACAATTACCAACCTCGACAACGCTGTTGTTTGTGAACAAGTTTGCTTGTTTTAAAACGACGAATTCGTTGCTAATTATTTTTATGACTTATGCTGTTTCAATACAATATTTTGCTGCGTACAAACAACCCGGACAATCTAAGAAGTGGTTACTGCGGGGAAACCGGGTCTCTATTAGGTCTGTGACCTAATCGGCAATAAAAATTGATGCAAATAAGGCTGTCTACCGGTTTACAAACATCTTGTGGACGAACGACGCAACTCGTTAGTAAACAACGAAAGTCATTTGAAAACAACTTTGATCGCTAAGAAAATTAGCAACATATTTACTGCTAAATTACAACATAATTTTTTACAGTGTGCAGGGTTTAGATAAAGTGTTAATGACCAGTGATGTTCCGTAACTCTGTGGACACGCAAACCAGGGTGACCACAGGATCGTCGAAAAAAAATTCCCGGTTATTTCCCGGTATTTTTCCGGCGATTTTACCAAGTTTTTCCGCGTCTAAGCGACGATTAAGGTAAAAAAATCAATTGTGGGTTACGAATCAATTATGGGCCATTTCGTCGGGCCGCTACAAATCCATGAATGAGCAAATCCATTTCAAATTCGGTATGGGTATTCACTGTAAAAAATTATGTTGTAATTTAGCAGTAAATATGTTGCTAATTTTCTTAGCGATCAAAGTTGTTTTCAAATGACTTTCGTTGTTTACTAACGAGTTGCGTCGTTCGTCCACAAGATGTTTGTAAACCGGTAGACAGCCTTATTTGCATCAATTTTTATTGCCGATTAGGTCACAGACCTAATAGAGACCCGGTTTCCCCGCAGTAACCACTTCTTAGATTGTCCGGGTTGTTTGTACGCAGCAAAATATTGTATTGAAACAGCATAAGTCATAAAAATAATTAGCAACGAATTCGTCGTTTTAAAACAAGCAAACTTGTTCACAAACAACAGCGTTGTCGAGGTTGGTAATTGTGTTGTTGTTTTAAAACAACAATTTTTAACAGTGCATGCGATTAAATTGTTTTTGTCTCTTTCTAAAGTTAAGGCCTTACTGTCTTATGTAAATAGATTGGCCACGCGACGCGCAATCGATACTTTATGGTTATGACCATAATACGACAGCTGGTGTGCAACGTGTCAATTCGGGGATTTTATTTCATACGAACTGAGACTATCATAATTTCAGTCGAAATAACTCACTTTTCTGTCGAATGGAATGTGTTACTTCGTGTGCGAAGATCGTAGTGCAGTCGGCTGGAAGACTGGCGACGACGGTCAAAACTCAAGACGCGTTTTGAGCTCCAGAGTCGCTAAACAGGACTCGAACCGAACGTGTGACCCCACCAATGGATTCCTCGTTCGGAGAGCAATCCATTGGTGGGGTCACACGTTCGGTTCGAGTCCCATTCAGCGACTCTGGAGATCAAAACGCGTCTGGGATTTTGACCGCCTCCACCGACCTTTTGACCTCAATGGGGTCAGCATTTTGAACCCAGTCAATACGGGCCTGCCTGTTCCGTGATCACACAAAAGAGTCTCGCTATTTTGTGGCGAAGCATTTCAAACTGACTAAAGTCGGAGGTAAGCTGGATCTGGCCAAAACTTGGCCAAAAAAAAAATGCCATGTTTTGGCAGCAAAGTGTTTCCGTTTAATTGTCAGCAGTGAACAAATGGGAAGCGGATTGAGGATGAGTTGGGTGCGAGGGGGTAACCACTCGCGTAATACCCTGTACACAAAAACCGTGTATTACGCGTAATACACGTGGTCGTAATACCATTTCTGCGTCTAATGAGCCAAATTTTTGCATTTTAAGGCCGTAATACACGTGTAATACCTCCGTAATACAGCGTAATACCGAGTAGTCTGTACACGATTTCTTGAAGTGTTTACCCCCTCGGTTGGGTGCCAGTTGAGAACACTGCAATACCAGTGGTAAGTTGCCACGAATTTGGCAAGCCGTTTTGAATGCCAAAAATTGGCAAGCTTTGCCCAGAAATTCTCCCCAGCTTGCCAAAATTTGGCAAGCTTATCAAGAGTGCCGACCAAAGCTTGCCAAATTTTGGCAGTCAAAACGGCTTGCCAAATTTGTGGCAAGCAAACTTGCCACCAGCTTTGCAGTGAAACGACTACTCATGAAGCACGTCGCACGAGGAGCTAGCGACCAAAACAGACTCGAAGTGACAGTCACGGGCAGGCAGTTGCCCATGCGATGACTTCAAGTGTTATCTTCGGGCGAATTAAGCCGATGAGATTGCAAACAGAATCACTTTGTCAGAGAAAATACTTTAATCGCACCCAGCAAGCGCCATTCATAGTTTGGTATACATACATATACGTCTTACGAGACGTCCGTGGATCAAAAAAAACTTACAGGGTAGTTGAATAAAAATAAAATAGAGTACCATATTGAGCTTACTAGGCGTAAAAGAGACACATTCATTCACGTCTTGTGAGACGTCCGTGGATCAAAGAACTGACAGAGTAGTTCAAATTCCAAATGAGGTATGAGAATTGAGCTAAAAAATTGAGTAAAATTGACTAAGATCCATCCGAAGTCGTCATAACTTGGACAAGAGCGGGCTGGCGTTGACGGCGAGCAGGGGGACGGCCAGGAGGGGTAGCAGGCGCTGCGTGCTGTAGGCCCTGCGGAAGAAGGAGAGTGCATTAGTGGTCGTCGTTGTCTCTCGCTCCACAGTATGCCAGAGGACCGGAGGAGGCGGTCAAAATACCGGACGCGTTTTGAGCTCCAGCGTCGCTAAATGGGACACGAACCGAACGTGTGACACCCACCAATGGATTGCTCTCCGAACGAGGAATCCATTGGTGGGGTCACACGTTCGGTTCGAGTCCTGCTTAGCAACTCTGGAGCGCTGAACACGTCTAGAGTTTTGGCCGCCGGCGCCGGTCTTCCAGCCCACTATGCGCTCAAGGGGTGGCCCACCCTAAAATTGTGAGATTTGTTAAAATGTGCTTGAATGTGGAAGTTTCCTGGCTCTCTCGTTCTACGGACACGCCAGAACGGACTTCGGAAGTGGCAGATGAACGCCAAAGTCACTCCGAGGAGCGCTAATTTTACGGCGAGGAAACTACTCCGAGATAAGAGTACTCCACGTAGTGTTTGACAAGGCCGGTCGCGACGTCACCGTCGTTGTGATTCCGCCGATTGGCCGCGAGACGCCGCGAAACGCCGCGAGAGCGCGGGGACTTACATCCCAGCGTCAAGTGGCCCACCGCCCAGAACACATAAAGGGCCCGCGCCGCCACAGTGGGCCAGCAGACCGGCGAACGCGGCCAAAACTCTAGACGCGTTTTGAGCTCCAGAGTCGCTAAATGGGGCTCGAACCGAACGTGTGACCCCACCAATGGACGAGGAATCCATTGTTGGGGTCACACGTTCGGTTCGAGTCCGGTTTAGCGACTCTGGAGCTCAAAACGCGTCTTGAGTCTTGGCCGCCTCCACCGGTCTTCTGGCCCACTGTGCAACGCCAGTGCTCAAACCGAAAGCGTTCATTACCTGAGAATTCGCGAGCGAGTCTTGCCAGCGGCGTTGGCATCGCGGCTTGCGGCGGCGGCGTCTTCGTGGAGCAGGAAGGTCTTGGTGCCCTCGAGGACCACGGCCAGGTACTGGCCCCAGTCCATGACGGCCACCTCGGCGAAGGGGAACGCCAGGCGGTCGGCGTCGGACATCCTGGACCACAGCGCGCGCACGTTGTCCGTCTGGAAGGCGAACTCGCGCGTCGTGAAGAACTCCAACGAGCGCATCCTGGCGCACTGCTTCCAGACCAGGTCGGCCAGCCTGCACACCGAACCAACGTCAAGCCAGAGTAACCGCGTCGTGGCTCATAGCGTACCACAGTGGGCCAGAAGACTGGTGGCGGCGGTTATAACCCTGGACACGTTTCGAGCTCCAGAGTCGCTAAATGGGACTCTAGCGGAACGTGTGACCTCACCAATGGATTCCTAGTTCGGAGAGCAATCCATTGGTGGGGTCACACGTTCGGTTCGAGTCCCATTTAGCGACTCTGGAGCTCAAAACGCGTCGAGAGTTTTGGCCGCCTCCACCGGTCTTCTGGCCCACTGTGCGCACCTTGGCGACTTCCTGGCGGCCGCCATGGCCACGGCGTCCACGGCGTACGCCCGGACCAGCTGCCCGGCGAGGGTGCGGAGGTGGTGCGCCGCGCGGCTGGTCGTGAAGGAGGCCGTGGGCGTGCCCAGTGTGCTGGCGTAGGGCCGCCGCCGCACGCCCTGCACCCACAAGTCCGTCGAGTCGCCCCACGTCACGGGGTTGCTGGCCCCCGACACGCAGTTGTACACCGCCACGCCTACACACAAACAAAATCAAGTCGCAGTGGGCCAGAAGACCGGTGGAGGCGGCCAACACTCTAGACTCGTTTCGAGCTCCAGGAGTCGCTCGAACCGATTGTGTGACCCCCACCAATGGATCGCTCGCCGAACGAGGAATCCATTGGTGGGGTCACACGTTTGGTTCGAGTGCTGTTTAGCGACTCTGGAGGTCAAAACGCGTTTAGAGCTTTGGTCGACAAACACCGGTCTTCTGGTCAACTGTGCGTTCCTTCCCGACGCCTACACTGAGAGGAAAAGCAACACGTCTTCTGCGAAAAAATGCCTTAGCACTTCAAGGTTTCACGGAACAACGGTTCCTGGTTTTCTGGCAATCGCCAATGCCGAGGGGGTATGCGCTCTCTGAACCTGTGTACCGACTATTACGCTATTACGCTCTATTACGCCACAAATTAATCGGAATTTAGCTAAAAACGGCCTAAAACACACCAAAATTGATAAAATTTTGACAATTTCGGCTATTACGCGACTGTTACGCGTATTATTACGCAAGCTATTACAGATAGAGTGAACCGACTATTACGCGAGTGCATACCCCCTCGGCCAATGCCTTCACCATTGGCTTCCTGGGAAAACCAGGTTCCGTTTTTACCTTGTTCCTTTTCCTTACCCGCTCTGCGTGCGTCGGCGAGGTCGGCGTGCGCGTGGACGTCCCAGGCGGCGGCCACCATCAAGTCGATGCACACGTCCACGGGCACGAAGTCCGCCACCACGTCGGCGCGCCCGAACACGCAGCTCAGGGTGCCCTTGCCGATGGACACCCAGGGCCCCACCGGGCCGTTCCAGTTGTCCACCCAGCCGGGCACCGGCTCGCGCCACGACGGCGACACTGGCGCACAGAAAGTCCGCGGTTCAAACACCGGAGAAGGCCACTTATTTATTCCTCAGGACGCACAGTGAGCCAGAAGGCCGGTGGAGGCGGCCAAAACTCCAGACGCGTTTTGAGTTCCAGAGTCGCTGAATAGGTCTCAAACCGTACGTATGACCCCAAATGACCCCACCAATGGATTCCTCGTTCGGAGAGCAATCCATTGGTGAGGTCACACGTTCGGTTCGAGTCCTGTTCAGCGACTCTAGAGCTCAAAACGCGTCTGGAGTTTTGCCCGCCTCCACCGGCCTTCTGGCCCACTGTGCGACGCTCGCATTACTACCGATCGAGGGCCGCACGATGACGACGGGCAGCTCTTTGCCCTCCTCCAGGATCACGGCCTCGGCGACGGCCTTGGTGAAGGTGTACGTGTTGGGGTAGGCGCCGATCAACCTAGCCAACAGGCAGCAGCATCGTGTTAAGAGGCACGTGTGAGCGCACAGTGGGTACGAAGACCGGTGGAGGTGGCCTATCAGACGCGAGTCCCAGAGTCGCTAAGGAGGACTTGAACCGAACGTGTGACCCCACCAATGGATTCCTCGTTCGGAGAGCAATCCATTGGTGGGGTCACACATTCGGCTCGAGTCCCATGTAGCGACGCTGAAGCTCAAAACGCGTCTGGGATTTTGAACGCCTCAACCGGTCTTCTAGCCCACTGTGGAGCGTATTTGTGAGCCCTACTTGAGGCGGCTTGACGTCAACAAGGCACACTTGAGTTTCTAGAACCCTGCTTCACTGCAGCCGAGCCACGCCATGCCCACCTTGCCGTGTCACTCTCCACTGCGGCGTCATCCCTGGCGGCCAGCTCGGCCCGCAGCGTGGCAGCGGACATCGGTGACGGGTACACCAGCTCCTGAACCATCCTTCGGGTGCAGGCACAGAACGCCGTGGACACGTGCAGCAGGGCCTGCTCAGGTTCCAAGTTCAACTCCACTGCCCGACGCAGCGCACAGTGGGCCAGAAGACCGGTGGAGGCGGACACAACCCTAGACGCGTTTTGAGCTCCAGAGTCGCTAAACCTTGAGAGGAAAAGGGGAGGAGTGCACGCTGCCGCTGCCCGTGGGCCGAGGTCTGTCGCTTCCAGAGCTTCCGCCGACCGCCGCCAGGAGAGGACACTTGGCGCTAGGGTCGCGCCGAGCCGGTTCCTGTGGGCTCGCGCCAAACCACATTTTGGTGCATGCAACTATGTGAAAACTAAACGCGTGAGACCCAAACAGAGTATTGCCGTGGGTTCTTCAGAGCTTTAAGTGGTGGAAGATTTCACAAATAAGTAGAATCTTTTCAAATACAACGCAAAATAAATGAAAACTGTCAGTGAGGTAGCCGCCAAGAGCGCCCTCCGTGGCCAACGGCGAATGGTGGAAGCTCTGGAAGCGACAGACATCGGCCCACGGCTCCGAACGGCAGTTTACGGCAAATTATTTATATTTAGGATTTTTTCTCTCAAAATTTAAGTTGATCTTCCACTAGTTCAAGTATTTCTGTATTTAAAAAAAATTGCCCGTGACCCTTTTGAAATCAGCCGTAGCCTAGCGAACCTGCACCAATTAGGTCTGCATTTTCGACCTACTTCTCCTCCCCTGTTCCTCCAAGGCTAAACAGGCCTCGAACCGCACGTGTGACGCCACCAATGGATTCCTCGTTCGGAGAGCAATCCATTGGTGGGGTCACGATCGGTTCGAGTCCCATTTAGCGACTCAGGAGCTCAAAACGCGTCTGGAGTTTTGGCCGCGCCCACCGGGCTTCTGGCCCACTGTGCAGTGCTGCCTGCGCCACTCACCACGAGCCCGGCCATGTCGCGGCACAGGTCCAGCACGGCCTGGGTGCCGGCCACGTTCACGTCGGCGGCCTTCCGGAGGTGCTCGTTGAAGCGCACCGTGGCCGCGGCGTGGAACACGACGGACACGGTGTTGGCGAGGTGCGCGCGGTCCGCCGGCGACAGTCCCAGCCGCGGCAGGCTCACGTCGCCGCGCACGGCCTTCACCTTCGCCAGCACGCCGGGGTCGCGGCGCCGCACCGCGTCGAACAGCTGTGTCAAAATTCCGTTTCTCATTGTGGGCGCCTCCAGACGGAAGGGCGATCCACAGTGGGCCAGGAGACCGGTGGAGGCGGTCAAAAACCCGGACGCGTTTTGAGCTCCAGGGTCGCTAAATGGGAGTCGAACCGATCGTGTGACCCCACCAATGGATTCCTCGTTCGGAGAGCAATCCATTGGTGGGGTCACACGTTCGGGTCGAGTCCTGTTTAGCGACTCTGGAGCTCACAACGCGTCTAGAGTTTTGGCCGCCTCCACTGTGCGATCTGCCCGCACTCGGCCCGCACTCACCGGCATGGCCAGCATGTCCCGGAGCCGGGCGTCCACGTCGCGGTCCTTCTTGGGCCGCAGCAGGACGACGACGCCGCCGAGGTCGGGGCACGACCGCAGCAGCTTCTCCACCAACACCTTCCCCATGAAGCCGGACGCGCCCGTCACCAGCACGCGGCGGCCGGCGTAGAAGCGGACGACCTCGCTGGCCTCCTCGCCGCTAGCCTCGCCCGAGGGGCACTGATGAAGGCCCTGCAGGCCGCGGGCTGCTTGCAGTGGCATGGCACTGCGGGGCACGCCAAGTGTAATACACAACAACAGCAACAACAACGAAAAGCAATAACAAATAACTATAAACAACCATGTGCATAACAGCAACAACAACAACAACAACAACCGTGCGCACAGTGGGCCAGAAGACCAGCGCGGCGGCCAAAACTCTGTACGCGTTTTGAGCTCCAGAGTCGCTAAGCAGGACTCGAACTGAACGAGCGACCCCGCCAATGGATTGCTCTCCGAACGAGGAATACATTGGTGGGGTCACACGTTCAGTTCTCGTCCCATTGAGTGACTGGAGCTCAAACCGCGTCCAGAATTTTGGCTGCTTCCACCGGTCCTCTGGCCCACTGTGGTGTGCGTGTTCCGAAGTGACTTACCCTGTGCTGTGCGTTGACCAGCGTAGAGAAGGGCGTGTTGGAGCTGCGGCCGGTCCACGGTGGTGGTGCCTGCTTGTTCTGCTGGCGGTGCTTGGCGGTGCCGGGGTGCTGGAGATGGTCCGGAGACGGTCTGGAGACTGACGGCCGGGCCGGGCCAAACCGGGCGAAGGGTCGCAAGGTCGCGCGGAGACTGGCCACTGCTGCGACGATCGGCATCGAGTCGAGTGCGAGAGAGCGCGCGCTACAGCCCGATTGGCTGCTGCCTCCGAGAGTCGCTGTCGTCGCTCTGTCTCTCTCACGCCCATACGGCACGCCCCATGAGTGCGAGAGAGCGCAGCCCGATTAGCTGCGGCTGCATACTGATTCCATCCCAGAGTCGTTTTCGTCGCTCTGTCTCTCTCACACCTATTCGGCACGCCCCACGAGTGCGAGAGAGACAGAGCGACGAAAGCGACTCTCGGAATCAGTCTGCTGCAGCTCCGTTCCGCACAGTGTAGCGCCCTCGTCGCCCTCGTCTTCCTGTCGGCGCGCTCACTCGCTCCGCATCGTTCGAGGCTTCGCTTCGCAGCGCTTCGCAGCGCCAGTGGGATCGGAAGTCAAGTCCAGCCTGGTCCAGCCGGCACCCAAGTTTCGCAGTCAACTCCGGTCCCGTAAGTAGCGCCATCTTGTGTGTAAATGCTTGCCGACGGCTTGCCTGAAGCCGAGGAACCTAGCGCTACACTTGTCGACCACGCACAGTGGGCCAGAAGACCGGTGGAGGCGGCCAAAACTCTAGACGCGTCTTGAGCTCCAGAGTCGCCAAACAAGACTCGAACCGAACGTGTGACCCCACCAATAAATTCTTCGTTCGGAGAGCAATTCATTTGTGGGGTCACACGTTCGGTTCGAGTCCCGTTTAGCGACTCTGGAGATCGAAACGCGTCTAGAGTGTTGGTCGCCTCCGCCGGTCTTCTGACCCACATGTTGTCCCGTCAGTCCTGACAGCTTGTCCGCCTCTGTTGCTGTCAGTCAACAACAACAACAACAACAACAACATGCATGTAGAACTGCTGACGAAGTGCCGGTGATCACCAAATTCTTAATTTACACCACCCTTTTCTAAAATGTCAGACCGCCCTTTTCTACAATTTCAGACCGCCGCAATAGGGTACTTTCGTAGAATCCTGAACCGGAAGCAAGCAGACCAGCAGACGCCAAATTGGCCGGAAACTAACCTCTCTTCGGATCCAAAACTATAGCCGAGCTGTACAAATATTGCTCGCGAAACACATATGCACTGCAAACAAGTATCAAACGACTGTTTATGTTCAAGTGTGGCCGATACCTTTGACGAACGTCTCTTTCCCATGTCAAGTTTGGATCTACTTCCGCCAACATGGCGTCTGTGTGCTTCCGGTTCAGGGATCTACGAAAGTACCCTATAGTCGGATATTTCAGAACCACTTGCTGCTAATTAACTTCACCCTATTTTTCTATGAAAGTTCAGAATTTTTTTAACGGTGTGGTGCGACTAGGACCTGAGGCACAAAATGGACTAGAGCACGACTCCCGGTGTTTGTTTCGTGCATTGTGTTTTGATTGAATCGTTTGTGTCTTCCAGTGTGATGCCTGTGGCCAAGATGGTGGCGCCGCGGGAAGGGGCGGACAGCAGGGACGCCGCGCAGGGCCCAGCGGGTGGAGCCGCCGTGGCAGCCGCCCCCGCGAAGCGCACCGCCGTGGCAGCCGCCCCCACGAGCGCCGCAGCCGCCCCCGCGAAGCGACCCGCCGTGGCAGCCGCCCCCACGAGCGCCGCAGCCGCCCCCGCGAAGCGACCCGCCGTGGCAGCCGCCCCCACGAGCGCCGCAGCCGCCCCCGCGAAGCGACCCGCCGCCGTCCCAGCCGCGCGGGGCCTAGCGGGTGCAGCCGCCCCTGCGAAGCGAGCCAACGCCCCAGCCACCGCAGCCGCCCCCGCGAAGCGAGCCAACGTCTCCACCGCGCAGGGTCCAGCGGGTGCAGCCGCCAAGCCAGCCGCCCCCGCGAAGCGAGCCACCGTCCCCGCCCTCGCCAGGCCGCAGAGGATCACGGCAACAACCAACCCCGTCGGGCCACCCAGGCGGCCCGTGGCCTGTCGCTCAGCCTCCACGACGGCCTCCACCGCGGCAAGGGCGGCCACGTCGGTGACCTCCACGGCGACGGCTGTGAAGGCAGGGAAGGCACGGACCTCCAAACCAGGCGCAACGCGGGCCTCGGCCTCGGTGGCCGCAGCCGTCCTCCCTGCGCCGACTTGTCCTGCAGAGCCGCGGGAAGGGGCCCTGGCGTCGGCCTCGCCCGACCAGCCCTCTGCGTCGGCCTCGTCGGACCAGCCCTCGACGTCGGCCTCGCCCGACCAGCCCTCTGCGTCGGCCTCGTCCGACCAGCCCTCGACGTCGGCCTCGCCCGACCAGCCCTCGACGTCGGCCTCGCCCGACCAGCCCTCGACGTCGGCCTCGTCGGACCAGCCCTCGACGTCGGCCTCGTCCGACCAGCCCTCGACGTCGGCCTCGCCCGACCAGCCCTCGACGTCGGCCTCGCCCGACCAGCCCTCTGCGTCGGCCTCGTCAGACCAGCCCTCTGCGTCGGCCTCGTCCGACCAGCCCTCGACGTCAGACCAGCCCTCGACGTCGGCCTCGTCAGACCAGCCCTCGACGTCGGCCTCGCCCGACCAGCCCTCGACGTCAGACCAGCCCTCGACGTCGGCCTCGTCCGACCAGCCCTCTGCGTCGGCCTCGTCAGACCAGCCCTCGACGTCGGCCTCGCCCGACCAGCCCTCTGCGTCGGCCTCGTCGGACCAGCCCTCTGCGTCGGCCTCGTCAGACCAGCCCTCTGCGTCGGCCTCGTCAGACCAGCCCTCTGCGTCGGCCTCGTCAGACCAGCCCTCTGCGTCGGCCTCGTCCGACCAGCCCTCTGCGTCGGCCTCGTCGGACCAGCCCTCTGCGTCGGCCTCGTCAGACCAGCCCTCTGCGTCGGCCTCGTCCGACCAGCCCTCGACGTCGGCGGCAGGGTGGGCCGCGGACCACGGTTTGTCGGGGAAGTCGGCTGCCCTGTTCGCGCTGTGGGTCGGCCCCGCCCCCAAGTGGCGCCGCATGCCCGTGGACGGCACCAACGGCACGCTCTTGGAGCTCGAGGTGGAGCAGGTGGAAGGGGCGCTGAAGCAGGGTGACTTCCGCACCAACTTTCTGGGACGGAGCGACAAGGACGTGGACCACTTCGTGCGCACTGGACAGTGGCCAGACCCTCCAATCCAACGAGCACTGCAAGTAGTGCCGTTCAAGTCTGTTGATCACTACATTATGGTGTTACAACAAAGTGCCTTGTCGCAACTTTTATGGGAAGCTAAAAGCTTTTTGCTTGACAGTGGAAGGCATATCAATTCGAGGCTTCACCAAGCGCTGGCTGCCTTAGAATTTGAGTGGCGGGGTACGATTGCGGGGAGGCGTGTCAGCAAGGAGCCGTCCTGGCTCAGTACATTCAATAAGTTACCTGATTTTATGAGAGAAGTGAAGTATAATATAGCATAGTAAACCAATTTGGAAATTTTTATCTCTTTTAGTTAAATGTGTTTCTTTGTCGCTCGACTGTAAGTTTTTTAAGGAATGTTAAGTTTTCTGTCTTACGAACCGTGTTTTGCCTTTATTGCACCACTAAGTCACCCTCAGTACATTCAATAAGTTACCTGATTTTATGAGAGAAGTGAAGTATATTATAGCATAGTAAACCAATTTGGAAATTTTTATCTCTTTTAGTTAAATGTGTTTCTTTGTCGCTGGACTGTAAGTTTTTTAAGGAATGTTAAGTTTTAGGTATTAAATGAATTTTATTCTGTCTTACGAACCGTGTTTTGCCTTTATTGCACCACTAAGTCACCGTCGCCAACATGTCTGCGTGGACAATTTTCCCCTTTCGACTCCACGCGCGAACGGATGGAATGCCCGTGTCTCTGAGAGTTCAAGAGTGGCGCCAAGAGGCCTGCCGCGAACCGGGAACGTTCTAGGGGAAAGGCAAGGCGGTGAGCGTAGCGAGTATGAAGAAGAAGATGAGAAGAAGAAAAGAATTAAAGGGAAAGGGGTAGGGGTACTTATGTGATTGTTGTTGATTTAGATGTGGTTGCTGACAGAAGGGTCGCAGGATGGTTTCTTTAATCAAGAACCAACTTTTGAAACACTTGTCAAGGTAATTTCGTTTCTGCGAGGGTTTTTTCGAATGGTTTCAACGGCGGGGCATTCTCATTGAAACACGTATTCGTGTCTAGGCCTTGAGCAAGATGTCAGGTTCAAGAAATCGTATTTTTGTGAATAGGTGTAATGTGCCACCGTCAGTGCCCAAGCCGTGTTAGATATGGCTACACATGGTTGTTCCTATCTCATTTCGTACCATTAGGTTCCCTTTATTGTCAGTGTTGTTTTTTGCCACTTGCACTAACCTCAACTTTCTGTAGTAAAGTAACTATACATAACTCTCCTCGTAACAGGAGTTACTTAGTAAATCCACGTTAATAATTTATTTTTAAAATTTTTATCCTCTTACAGGATTTTTTTGTTCTTTACAAACTCTCGTATGTTTTTTAATTTTGATTTTTTTCTTTCTAGATTCACAAAGAATTTAAAAGAAGACCAAATAAACCTCAGCACATTTAAAGGAGAAGGAGATTTAGCCAACTTAGAATTAGATGAGTTAGTGCTCACAGACTTGCTGGAACTTCCATCATGGCTGCGACTCACAAGTGCTCGTTGCAATCGAGTGAATTTCCGAATACAGTGGACAAAACTGAAGAGTGTCCCAATATTTCTGGTAACTATTTCATTAGAATTTGTGTCTTATGCTGGAACCCTCAAATCTTGTACTTGTTACCCACTTATTTCATTTCTCAGACATTAGACGAAGTCCAGATTGAAGTGGAAACATGTGAGGATCTCCGGTCCATGTCCGTTCAAGATGGTCTTTCTTCCATGGGTGGTGGCCGTTACAGTTTTATTCATAAGGTTATTGATGGAATGACTGTTGCAGTCAATACTGTATTGGTCACATTCCGAAGCCCCGCATTTGTTGCATCATTACAGGTTAGTTGTCTTATTTCATTTCTCTGAATCTTCACTTAAAGCAGGCCAGAAAAAATTCTTTCTTTAAATCTTCGTTTAGATTTCCCGTATTATGGTGGAGTCTAAATCTCCCCAATGGCAACGAGCAGATCTGCGGTGTACTCGAATAAAGGAGCCTGAAAAAGGGCAACTACTTATTTTCAAAGAACTGGAATGGCAAACTGTTCGCATTGAAGCTCGCTCTACCCAAGACACCAATTTAACACCTCTAAGACTGCTCACCAACCAGGCACGATGTAGGATTGTGATTAAAAAAAGGATGTCAGGTAAATGATCATTTATATTTTCTTAGATTTTTGAATGATTGTACTTTTGTAACAGATTTACATCACTATTTTCAGATTGTTTTGTTATGGGATCTCGTCTTTTGCTGATTCTTGACGATCTTCTGTGGGTCCTCACTGATTCTCAGCTGAGAGCAGCCCTCCACTTTTTGAATTCTCTGTCAGGTTTGGTTCAAAAAGCCACTGAAGTAACTCGTAAAAAGAAGGCAGCACGAAAACTTGAGGTAATTTGATACTGTTCCTGTCTTAACAAATTTTTCTGTCATTGGAACCCTACTAAATGTTTCCTTATTATAGGTTTTACCAGAGTATCAAGCTCAAATTTCTCAGCAAGCACGTAAACAGGGCCACGAGAATGACTTATCAAATAGGTTCAACCGATATGATATAGTGGAAACATCTTATCACTTTCTCTCTCAGCGGATAGATTTACACCTTTGTGATGACCCTGGTGGTAAGAATCATTTCAATTCTAATTGTTCTGACTTTGTACTGTGTAGTCAAATTTAAATTTACTGCCTTTAGTTGGGAGATCGTGTCACCCTGATCTGAAAGACGGAGGTGCTCTTCAAATCAGTCTTCAGCACTTTCAAGTTGACTATTACCCTTACCACCTGGCCATCAGAGATAGGAAGCATTGGCCAAAATATAAGGAGGCAGGATCGTCACACACCCAATGGCTTCAGGAGGCTCTTGCGTCCTTCAGAAATAGGTATTAGCAAGTGTAATCAAACCTTGGTAGTTTCCAGAGGAAGTGCCTTCTGGTCTGGACACTAAATCTGCAATCTCTCTTTTTCAGCTTCCTAGACCTAATAGAAAGCAACCGTGCAGTTCATACTCCTTTGTCACGGTCATCATTTCAAGATGGAGGGAATGACCCTTCAAAAGCCAATGGAACTCCCTTTGGTGTTCAGAATAATGAATTTGGGGGTCTCCCTGAGCAGGTACCAACTCTTGGCATGCAATCCTTTTGCCTCTGTGGATGTTCCAATGCATTACATCATACTGGTTTGGTTTTTCTAATCTTTCAAACTTCCATTAGGATAATGCCAGAAGATCAAGCCAGCCTCAAAGCCCTCAGGTTAACCCAGTGAAAAACTATGTGATTTCTCAGCTTGCAAAACTTATGACCTCATGTGTGATACTGCGCATTGAGGATTTCACCCTTTATAGGGTCACAACACCAAAGCGAAAACAAATGCCAAAGGATTTTATATCAGGTACGAATTATATTTTGTTCAAGTTGGGAGTGTCCTGCTTCCCCTTTTCATATGAAAATTTAGGTTTTAAGAAAAAGATTCTTTATTAGGTTCTGGACCATGTTTGTGTGTTGCATAGATCTGCCTACAGATCCCAAACAACTTTTTGATTTCATCTGATTTGTTAATTGATGAGACCCAAACAGTTTAGATCTGATCATTTTGTATGTGTAATGATTTCTCAGTGTTGAGTAGCCTGGTTCTAAATTATTTATTGAATTTCTTCATCAAAAATAAAAGATAGTTCTTTAAATTGTATTTTGCACCTTGCTTGATACACTTTTTTTCCTTTCTTTGTTTGAATTAAAGCTCAACACAGGAGAAGATCAGGTATTTGCTCTCTAGCAAAGTGTGTGTTTAGATATAGCATTGCAAACAGTGGCGTACGAAAGGAGGATTCAGAGGTTGAAACCCCTCCTTTTGATGATAATTAGCTTAACAACCTGCAATGCGTTTGGTTAGAGAGGGAAAAGTGCAATAAAATCTCTGCTTCAATGTTTATTTTGTTACGCTGCTGGTTGCAAAATAATAATAAATAGGTGCCTCTTTACTGATTGAGCTGTAGAGTGGTAGAACTAGAGTAAATTTCTTTGTGAATAGGATTTTCTAGATAGATACTTAAATCTCATGCTTGGACAAAATCTCTCCCATGTTGTTATAGCTTGTAATTATATCATGGCTCATGGTCATCTTTTCTTTGCCGCAGTCCATGTTTTAGTGTAATTTATTTTAACAGTCAGATAAATAGTAATAAATGTTTCTAAGACCTTTTTTCCTCTAGCTGTTTCCTTCTTGTGGAAAAGTTGAGAATGTTTTGTTTTGTTATTGTATTGCATGCTTAATGTCCTTCTTTACTTTCTTAGTATAGGTTGTAATTTCATCACTCCTGTTTGTTCTAGGTGACAAAGACAGGTATTCATTCCCAGAAGAGCTCAAGACTGTTCATGCTGAATTCACATACTACTATTACCCAGGAGACATACCATTCCCATGTAAATAGAAATTTAAACTGGCAGCCCTGCTCAGTTTTTCCTACAAGACATAAGTGACATTTGTATTTTTGTTTGCAGTGCCGCCTTCTAAGTTTTACGTTCAGTTAAATCCTATTCAAATTTATATGGATGTTCTGAGTGTCCTTTGGGCCAACTCGTTTGCTTTAAACTTGCATCAATCTCTTCAAAAGAATGTTCAGGAAATGAATTCTAGTCTTCCATATGTAGACGTAAAAATTGAAGCTGTCTTACCTCGGGTAAGTACTGTATGTATGGCAAACTGTGCCATGCCATCATGGCTATTTTTTTAAAATCTATGTAAAAGTATTACTAAATGTCTTTTATACTTTGTAGATTGTGCTGGAAAGTACTGTGGAACACTTGAGCCAAAGAGACAGACCCAAGTCATTGCATGTCCAGGCATCCAGAGTTACCATCACAAATGTCCGAAGCACACGGGATTCCTGCTCCCGAGCAGATTTGGCCAAATGTGTTCACAGTTTTCAGCTAGGCTCTCTCTTCTTTGGATCAGACTTCCCCTCAAAGCCGGGTGAATTCCATGTTGTCAACAAAAAGTTCATAAAACATTTGGAAGGTAAGATTTGTGTCCAAAGATTTTGGCCCCCCTGCGGAGCTTATCTGTCTCAGAACTGCACTGTAATTTACAATCTTCTCTTTATTTAGGTACAGACAATATTCGTGCGCCACCTTCTCAAATCACTGGAAACTCTGTCCAGGAATTAGTTGACCAACTTAGTCGGGAGTTGTTGTGGGTGGAGGCAAAGGACACGTGGTGTGTTCATCTCGATCCAGTTTGGGGGGAGTTTTATGGCACTCGTGCCATAGGTTCGAATCGTCCAACTGTGTTTTTTGATGCTCTGCCTATTACTTTGTGGGTGTACATGAAAGTACCTCAACCAGCAGCACGTGTAGGTACTCAGGTACGTTAAATTTTTTGTATTCAACTTTATTTGTACTTTTAAAAGTAGAACTTGTGACAGTCAGCCCCTTGGATTTTGTCTTAGGAATCATCTCCGAAGTTCACTGTCAACTCTAAAGAGGCAAGCCTATCACAGGGAAGTCTTAAAAGTGGGCATTCCTTTGATGGTAAAGAAAAGACTAGGCCTCAAAATCTTAATTCAAGCCAAAGTAAATCTGAACCAGGCACAGCAGACATTCATGTACTTGTACAGGTTTCAAATCTAATGTCTATTCAAATAAACCATTATCAACTGCTGTTTCTTTTACGGTTGGCTGAAGAGGCAGCTGAAGTGGCTACGTTTCTGACTCTTGACACTATGCGGTAAATACTTAAAACATCAGATTATCCCATTTTAAAGTGGACTTTTGACAGGTTTCTGTTGTTTTTCATATTGTTCAGTGTGAATGATATTTTATCTGCCATCCTCTCTTCAGAATCCTAGATCACAAAGTGGGCGGCTCACTGGTTGTAGGAGCTCTTTTACCTCAAGTTGAAGTGACATTGGTTATGCCATCCCAGACCCCTGGCAAAGAATCGTCTGGTGGGGATGTAGAGTCAGTGTTTCCTGACTCTTCAAGCCTAGGAGATGAACTTGTTGGAAACCATGTGGAGCGTTCTGGTGATATGGGAAGTGGCACCGTAGATCGAGCTAGTGTTCACTTTTCTACTTCGACTGGTCAAGTTTCGCAGGTTTGTAATTATGCCCTGTTTCTGCGACCGCTCTGGACAGGTGTTTGTGAAGCAATAGTTGCACCTTTTCCTGTTTCCTTGCAGGAGGCTGGCAACCGACGTAGCGTGCCGCACTTCAACTCCAATGGCAACGGCCGTGCAACGCCAGGGAGTGATGTGTCGTCGTCGTACTCGATGGACTTCCAAACACGGCAGCCAACTCGGCAGCTCGAGGACAAACCAGTTGCATCTGCTGTGTCCACTTTCAACAACTTCAACTCCGTGTTCAGCGCCAGCAAAAAAGCTTTGAAACTTCTAATGAACACAACCGACGCTGCCCCGAAGCAATCAATGGATGACGCGAGTGACACTGTATGAATAAACACCATGCCTTTTCCATTGGATATTCTTTTAATCGATATTAGTTGAGCGTTTCTGACTGAAGTCCTCTTTGTTCCAGGTATCTATCCGCAGTGACTGCAGCTCTGGCAGTGACAATTTCGTGCTGCTTGGGGGTGAAACTGCTGTTCTTGATTCTAGTGATGCCATGTTTCGTACTTCATGTCTTGATAACAATATGCAGAAAGTTGAAATGGCGAGTGAAGTTTTGGAAGAAGAACCAACTGGAACAATTGTAACAACTCCAAGTGAAAGAGCAGATTCCATTGATAGCTCAATTAAAAGGAGAGATCTGGTAAGAGTCATTATTTTTAAAAGTCTTTTCTTCAATATACATCTTTAATTTATTTATTAATGATTAACAAATCATTATTTTATTTCATTATTATGTAATTCAAGGTAGACTCCCCACCACCACAAAAAAAAACAGTCTAATATCTTAATGTCTTTATCAGATTTCAGTTGCTACTTTCAAATTGGCCAAGGTAGAATTCATGCAACAATCGGCAGGCTTTTCTTCTTCTATCAAGGTGCAAGTTGCAAATGTCACTTCTGAAGAATGTGGAGCTATACCCTGGGATGAGTTCCAGGTAAGAGAATCTTTTTGGTTTGGAGAGCAACAACTCTCAGCATGCCTATTTAACCCATTTCTTTCCCATTATTTCCTCTCTCTCTCTAAAATTAATTGCTATATGAAAATATTTTTGCATGGTTTGCAAAGCTGCCTCAGTGTGTTTCTGGTTTTAGAATGTTTCAAATATGCAGCACTTACAGTTTTCATTTTGTCTACTCATCTGTCTGTTTTTCCTTTTGCCTCTCTGCAACTTGTTTGTCATCAACAATTTACCTGGTGTCTCATCTGATGTTTTGTCCTGTCTTTCGTAGGTTTGCTCTGGTCTGGTCTGTTTTGATTCTGTTTCTTTCCACTTGGTGTGAAAATTAATCTAGCAATCTAACTTGCTGTCTTGCTGATGAAAAGCGGTCATTTGAAGTTGATTTGATAAAATTTTTCAGTTGTTTCCAATCCCTTCCTTCCTTCTGTAGGGAATTTTGGAGTCTCCTTTATATCTATGATTTCCTTTTGATAATTTAACTGAACCCACTTCAAATGTTCCTCTTACCTTTGTTGTTGTGAAAAATTACAACTTCCTTTCTGTCATGTCTGAAAATATTTTGCTTTTCAACATGATCTAAAAAATATTATGAACAGATATCCACTGTATTTCTGCTTTCTTCTCATTCATTCTCTACTTTACCTTTTCCTCACCTAAAATTTCTTGTTTATATTGTCTTTTTTCGCATGCTTGCCTTGAATTGTTGTGTGGCTGCTCAGACCGAATTTAAGGTATTATTGATACTTTTTACTTATAATAATACTTTTGCAGTAGTTTCACTTGATCTCTGTCTTTGCATGCTCCGTTTCGCGTGAAGAGAGCCCAACGGTTTTGAGGCATATCTTCAGCTTCTCTGTTCATGGAGCCTGCTTAAAGCCTCACTTCACTCTGTACTTTCTTTCATGTTCAAATTTTCCACCTGTCTGATTCCTTCTTCTTGATTCTGTCCTGCTTGCAGAGATGCTTTCATACCATATAATGAATAACCCCTTTTTTACCTAATCTGTTTGAGTACTTGAGAAACAAAAGTTGTAATTAGAATATTGATGTAAATTTTGCTTAACGTTTCTGTGCTTTGAATGGTCTTCAGTACAGTATATGGCACAGTGGGCCAGAAGACCGGTGGAGGCGGCCGAAACACTAGACGCGTTTTGAGCTCCACAGTTGCCAAACAGGACTCGAACCGAACGTGTGACCCCACCAATGGATTCCTCGTTCGGAGAGCAATCCATTGGTGGGGTCACACGTTCGGTTCGAGTCCCAGTTAGCGACTCTGGAGCTCAAAACGCGTCTATAGTTTTGGCCGCCTCCGCCGGTCTTCTGGCCCACTGTGTATGGATGCAAATATCGTGCCTTTGTGTACTGAATGAAAGCTGTGTCCCTAAGGTAGATCGTCAATGATCATTAGATCCACCAATGTCTTACTCTACCTGGTGTACCTTCCAGAACAAATTCAGCTCCCGTTCCCGGGCGTGGGTGGAGCTCCCCTTGGACACGGCCGGGCACCCGAGAGTGCAGGCCAGGCTGGACCACAGCCTCCTCCCCGAGCACCAGACGGCCGCCACCAAGCTCAAGGGCCCGTGGGACCGGTCGTGCATGCAGACGTGGTTCCACGACCTGCTCGAGGTTCGCGTCACCGACCTGCCCGTCCGCCTCTCGATGAGCACCATCATGGGGCTCACTGACCTGGTGGAGGACGAGGTGATTGCGGCACCACTGCCAATGGAGGTATGTCCATGTCCATGTCGTGCGTCTTGCTTGGGTTTCTAAGTAACTTGTCGTTTGGTTTTCATTTTTTGCCTTGAATGTTACAGGTCTTCCTGGAAAATGTCTCTCTTCATTTGATTGAGGACCGGCCGAGCAACAATATTACTTCACCAGGGCCAGTCCCTATCGATGCATCAGTATCCAGATTGCACATATCTCGTGACAGAAGCGGAGTGTTTCTGATTGAACCACCAGGTTGGTATACCTATTGTTATCTTGTTCATGCATGTTTGTCATCTTGCCAAAACTGACATTGTATGCATATTCTTAGGGCGTGCTCGAGCTGAAGAGTCTGCAGAGCTTGAGAGACTTCAGAGATCCCTGACCCGTCTCACCACTGAGAATGATGAACTACGCCGCAGACTCATGGCTTTCGAGCAGCTGTCAGAAGAGAACCACAGATTGCGACGTTCTGCTGAAGAATCAGATACTCTTCGGTAAGTGTAACTGCATGTTAAGTGACAGTGTCAGTCCTGTCTCCTGCACTCTAAGCTCATTTTGTGTGCTCCATTTCTTCCCTTATCAGCACCTACCTAGCTAATGCTCAAGATGAATTAGGCACACTTTTGGAAGAGAAAATGTCGCTGTTAGATGAGATTCAAGTGTTGCGCCAGAAAGTGAACCGCAGTGGTAGCTCAGGCAGCACAAACAGCAGCGGTAAGAGATAACAGTGTGATGGCTCCTGCTTCAAGTGCCGCCATTGCTGCGGAGGCTCTCGTCACAGCCGTAGCAAATAGTCACAAATGAGTCCGAAATGCCAAAACTGTGGCCCAGCTTCTCTATTTGGGTGGTGTTTGGTGTTTTGGTCTGAGTCTGTTACGGCATAACGAGTGGAGCAAGGAGCACAGCCACAGCATGGCATGTTCTGGACAAAAATCCAACTGGAGTCAGGTGAACGAAGAAAATGTTGGAACAAGTACTTCAGCAGTGAACAAGTTAGAATTAATACCTCAATGTATAAATAGTGCTTTGGTGTGTATCATTTTCATCAGTCAGCTAACTGGAGTACATTCTTTCAAACAACTTTTCACTTGACGTAATAAATACCATTTATGAAAGAAAGAAAGAAAAAAAAAAGTGACATTCACATTGTCAAGTAACTGTGATATCTGCCCTGCCCGAGAGTTATTAAGTGATTTCTGTTGTAAATATCTTATGACCATTTTCAGGTTTGATTATCTGTGGTCATCTTAACTTCGTTCATCTCTAGAAAAATATATTTCTGGAGCCCAATTATAATAAAAATTTCAATTAAGGGTCTTGTTTTCATCTCTTGCTAAGTAGCTATTTGTCAATAAGCGTCTGGCATGTGTTGCCAATTTATGCAAATATCAGTCTTTTCAAAACCCTTTTTAAAAATTTGTTTCAAGCTATATGTTAACATGTACAAAACCCTCATGCATGTAATCCTTCCAGCTGAATGAAGTTGAGTTCGATGGTCACAGGTCTACAGAAAATATGTTTTGGTATCACAGCAATAAAACTTGCCATCTTCTTTTGTAAAGGAATGAACTTTATGTGCCATGTTTATGTGGTCTTGATTTGCTTGATGGTTTTCATACTGACAAAGCAAGCTCCTTGTGCAAAGTTTTTAATTACATATCATTACTTAAGTTCCAAAATAATACTCATGTTTGAGTTGTTCAGAAGCCTGAGTGAAGTACATGCAATCTTTATTTTTTTGAAAGAAGTTTGGAACATTATGTAATCTTGCTTTCAAATGTTTGTTCTTTGTGATTCTTTTCCTTCTGATGTTATTTTTTTGGTGTGCCAACTTTTGACTGTGTTGAATGTGTTACTTGTAAAAGTATCTTAAGGATGCATTTTTACAACTCTGATATCATACTTTCTTTTGTTAGTTATTGTTGAGGTGTGCTGTGGTGCTTTGGGTCTCTTTTCCTCCGAACTTAAATAATTGGCTTAAGTCTTCTGAATAATTAATACTCCAAAATCTCCATCAATATTTGTAAATAAAGGTTGTGTTCAATTCCTTATCCTGTTACCTTGTATTGAGAGAATTTTTCAGCTTGAATTTTTCATTTATTGTGCTATGTTTGATCAGAGTCTGGAAAGTTCCTGATGGTCACCAACTATAAAAGTGAAATCTTCTGACTGAATGATGCAGAGTATGTATTTTATATTGAAGTTGTGGATAAGTATCTCAATGTTAGCCTTGACTTGATGTGTGCTTGTCCCTCAAAAGAGAATTTATTATTGTTTATTCTACTTATATGTATATAGTATGTAATTAACCAGCTGGCTGAGTTATAGTACTTCGTTGTTGATTTTGAAATATTTCTCTGGAATTATAATGGACCTAGTTGGTTGTTAAATCATACTTAATCTGACGCTGTTGCTGTAAAGTTGTAAATGCAATGTCTTTGAGGCCATTGTGGTTACGATTGATTTGATGGGTATGTGGCTGGTTACATGTTATTGTTTCATCTAGGTGAGCAGCTGCTTTATTTTGCAGTGACCTATTTTTATATTTGTTTATTCCTCCCTTTCTCTGATCTGATTGTTGTACTTCTTGAAGCTTTATTTTGTATACTGTACACTGCAAACTAAAGCTGAACGATTTATTCTTAAAGTGAGCATCTCTTTTCTGCTGCCTCACTAGTTTTGAGGACGGCTCCTCTTCATTAATTGCTGTGGTTTCCTTTTAGTTTAGACGTGCATTTTGTGTTTGAAGTGGGTCATATTTTGCCATAGATAGTCTTTTTATTAATTGCAGTGACAAGACTGACTTTTTTCATGCGTGATATTAATTTATGGGAATTAGGTAGGGGTTAAATGGGATGCTGTAACCCACTTTTCAATTTTAGCAAAATGATTTTTATGTGTAATTTTCCTCATTTATTCTTCAAGGATACTGCAATGTCTTGAACTGGAAAGTTAATGGCCGAAATCACATGAGATGTTTTGAAAATTAGAAATTCTTTCAATCAAAATATACAGTCTTGTGCTAGTGTTATAGTAGGCTTTTATAGGGTGAACTACTGAAACTACTGATTTCTGTGGAAAAAAGTGTCAATAAATGGTTTTATTCCTACGGGTTGTATAGGAAAGACTTTACAATCATGTGACCTTACTGGTGTTAGAGTCCTATAGTAGCTTTAGGACTCTAATTCGTGTCAGGCTCCATGATAGTTTCTATTGGCTCTACAGATCAATGCTCTTAACGCGTTGTTGTTCTGCCAAAGAGGGTGTAAGTTACCATTATAATAATCTGATCTAAATTTTAATCATTAAGACAGGGCATTTTCCAAGTGTAATTTTGCTTCACTTCCTATGTAGCCCTTAAATGCATTTTTTCAGTGTCATTTGTATGCGTATCTTCTCTTAAACTTGCAATGTAAATTTCAAGAAAATTTGCTTGTTTTTCTGTGCATGTCTTACACGTAGCCTATTCCTGTTGTCTTTTCTACTGTTTCTGTCATTCATTCTAGTTAAAAAGTCACATTGTGAGATTTTCCTGCACATAAATTTGAGGTGGTATTGTCGGTACTAGGTTTTGACTTAGGAGCACTTCATTAATTTAACAAGTTTGATTTTTGAAATTTTAGTCCCTTGTGCTTACGTAAGGATGCTGACCTCTGTGTCTTTGGACCCTTATATAAGTCATTGTTGCAAAAGGAAAAACTACAATCAAGGGGCATGCTGACTAAATTTTTGAGATATTTTGTTCATGTGTCTAAGACGTACAAACATTTCAAGCAATAATTTAAATTTCTAGGGTATTCTTTTTTTATCTAATTACGACATTTTTAAAGAAGTAACTGTAAATTCGATTCCTTGATCTGGTAGCTTTTGCCTCATCCCAAATCTTATTTGTCAAAAGTTCTTGTGATTTGAGAGTTGCTGTTGTTACATTCGACTTTTTACAATAATGGACATTTTCAAAATACATACTGTATTATTTGTATGCACACTACCCCTGTGCTTTAGAATAAAGCTTTCCTGCACTGTTATTTGTTTGAAAATATGATTAAGCCTGAATGCTCTATTCCTCTCTTTGGACTAGGTGAATCCGACATCCTATTGTTGAGTGTATTGCTTTAAAGTAAATGTCCACCGTTTTATTGCACTAAGTTGTTATAATATTTGAAAATTTATGAAAAGATGTATATGCATATAAAAGTATCTAGACGCAGACGTGAACGTTGTCATCTGATATTGTACCTACAGATTTAAATTTGAATAAATTCACTGGTTGAGTGTAGACTTTGATTTTTTCAATGTTTGGCCTTTGTTTCACATCGGATCCTACATTCTTTCTTCATACCTCTCCCCCCACGGCATTGAGGCAGTCGATCCCTCCCGGCCGAGCATGCCCAGGCGATTCTTCAAGGGATCTGCCTGCCGATCGAAAATTTGGTCACGTGACCGGTAACGTGACATCTCGACCAATCAGAGCCCTCCATTTCTCCAAAAAGTGCTTATTTTGCTGGTTTTCACCGAAAGCTGGGCTGCCGGCCGCCGGCTGCGCGCCAGCCGTCGCGGAATCGGCAGGGGAGGGGAATTCCCCGGGCGTGACTGTTTTCTTGGAGGCTGGGGTTGCGTAGAAGATTGATGATGAGTTGCGGAGAAAGCCGTGGCTGTCTAGTAACGTTGGTGAGCGACACTGTCACCGCGAGCGACCAGCAGCGTTACGCTGCCAGCGCCCCTTTGTGGTGAAATCCCGCGAGCGAGGATCCAAAGTCACAGGTGACTGCACCTCCATCACAGTCTACGGTTGAACTCCCTGGCGGGAAGGCCGTTTAATTTGTTAGTGGCCGGTTGCAAACAACCAGCGACTGGAAAAAGGGCACGTTGGCAGACTAGTCAAAACGGCGAGCGGAGCTGCCACCGCGAGAGAACGGCAGAAACGCAGCGGCCAGCGGAAGCGCGTCCAAACTCCCAACCCTGTGCGGGCGCGCGGGCACTCAAAGAGTGATCGCATAATCTAGCACCGCCAAATTTGAGTATGTTGTGCTGAGGCACTCCCACATGTCCTCGGACGCTATTTCAAGGACCATTCCGGCCCTAAACAGTCTTTTCCTGGCGAAAATTGAAATTATTGTAGTATGCGCCGGATAGATAGGCAACCCATCGTTCACAGCCACTTCACCGTGCCAGAACTGGTGATCCAGTGCTATCAGTCCACGTTTCGGCGATGTCCTATTGTGTGTCTCGGTAATTCAGGGCGCAGTCTTATCCCCCCCCCCAAAAAAAAAGAAAAAAGAAAAAAAGAGGAAAAGATGAAACGTCACATGGAAAGACATACTGGAAATATGTTTTAAATTTTCTCAATCAATTTATTTCTGAAACATTTTTTTACAAATGGCATGTGTAAATAACATTGACTAGAATAACTATCTCCTCAACAATCAATTAAAATAAAACAGAACGATGTCCGTTGTAAGTTTGGGTAAAGGGAAGTGCGATGTAACATGTTGGTTGAATAAACTTTGCAAAACACAATCAAAACGCAAATTCAACAGCCCCTCCCTCCCAATACATTTCAATGAAACTACTGGTACCTCATCACTTCAGTTCCAAGGAAATCAAAGTCAGGCGCCAGGCATGAAGACTGAAAATACACCGACAATATTTTCCCTGAGCCTTGACACATTGACTCCGACAAGTCCATCCCAAGTGGACAACAAATGTAACACAAAGGAAAAAAAATTTCTTTGCAGTAAAATAGGGCACGTTAGTCACATACAGTATTTAGAATAAAATACAAAATAATATGTTAAGAAAGAAACAAAAACAAACACACTTTGGCAAAAAGGTATAGTCACTGTCTGTGAAAGACAACCAATAAGGAATAACATGATGTGAACAGCACAAAAAGAGTCGTCCCTCTCTACACGTAGCTTTCTTGACGAGTGGAAAACAGCATGAAGGAATCCAGAAGCCTCGGCTCCAACAGTTCGCGATGGTCTCTCTTGCTCAAAACCACAGAGTCGCAGTTGGCCGCGATTTTCCTGAGGGCCGCCTGGAAACAAGAAAAACAGTGAATTAGCAAAGTGCAGGGCACCATTGAGGTCATTTTTGTCAGAAAAAAGGGGAGGCTATCAGACCTCAGCTATATTTTTTTTTTGCGTGCACTACCAAATGACTCTAGAAAATGCAATACGGAAAGTGACTGACCAGGCAGGCGACAAGAACTCCGTCGCTGTGGTTGCGTTCCTTCTCGTCCCTGCAGAGCCGGACGAGGCGGGGGACGCCCTCCAGGGACACGACCTGGCTCGCCACCACGGGGTCACTCGCCAACCTGCGGGAGGGAACACATCACTGTGAGCGACAGAAGGGACTCACAGTGGGCCAGAAGACCGGTGGAGGCGGCCAAAACTCTAGACGCGTTTTGAGCTCCAGAGCCGCTAAATGTGACTCGAACCGAGCGTGTGACCTCACCAAAGGATTCCTCGTTCGGAGAGCAATCCATTGGTGGGGTCACACGACCGGTTCGAGTCCCATTTAGCGACTCTGGAGCTCAAAACGCGTCTAGAGTTTCAGCCGCCTCCACCGGTCTTCTGGCCCACTGTGGGACTGCGGGGATCCTGCATACCCTTTCGGGCCGTACCTGGACAGGGCGATGGCGGCCTTGTGCTGGACGCGCTCCGCGGCCGCGATGTCGGCGGCCCGCTGCAGCGGCGACGGCCGCAGCTGCAGGAAGCACAGCAGGGCCACGACGGCGCGCTCGGCCGCCAGCTCGGCGCGCGCCTCGGGCACGGCGGACATGTTAGCGATCAGGGTGGCGGCCTGCTCCTGCAGGAACACGGAGCACCGGGCGCCCTGCGCGCGCACGGCCTGCAGCACGGCGCCCGCGGCCCCCGCCGTCAGCAGCGGCCACACGGCGCTGGTCTCCACGTAGCTCAGGTGGGACAGCGCGGCGGCGGCCAGCAGCAGCACCTCCCCGCTGGACGCCCCGCGGACGAGTCCTGGACAACGACAAGCACACCGTCAGTCTAACGCGCCTCGCCTTGTGCGCAGTCCACCCGCACGGCAGACTCATTCCGAGAGTAGCTTTCGTCGCTGTGTCTCGCTCGCACCCATTGGGCGACCCGCGTAGCTGCGAGAGAGGCAGAGCGACGACTGTCGGAAACAGTCCGCTGCACAGTGTTCCAGAAGGCAGGCGCCGGCGGCAAAAACTCTAGACGCGGTTCGAGCTCCAGAGTCGCTAAACAGGACTCGAAGCAAGCGTGTGACCCCACCAATGGATTGCTCTCCGAACGAGGAATCCATTGGTGGGGTCACACGTTTGGTTCGAGTTCCATTTAGCGACTCTGGGGCTCATAACGTGTCTAGAGTTTTGGCCGCCTCCGTCGGTCGTCTGGCCCACTGTGCTCCGCCTGTCCTCTAGCCTACTGTGCGCTGCAGGCTCGACGTCGTACTCACTCGTGAGGGCGTGCACGATGGCGTCCAGGTGCTGCGACAGCCCCTCCACGCGGGCGTTGTCCGGCACCCAGGGCGCCGTGATCTGGGCGAGCACGGCGGCGGCCTCGGCGCGCTCCTCCTCGGCGCGGTTGGCCTCGGACAGCAGCTCGGCGACGACCTCCACGCCGCCGGCCTGCTCCAGGGCGCGCACCGCCTTGGCGGTGCAGCAGACCGCGGACAGCGCGCGCAGCGCAGCGCGGCGCGTGTGCGAGGTGCGGGCGTCCAGGACGACCTGCAGCAGCGCGCGGACGCCGCCGCAGCGGACCACGAGCTCGGACAGCGCGGAGCCCTGGCGGCCCAGCGCGCACAGGGCGGACACCGCCGTGCGCAGCGACAGCGGCGACGCGGGGCCCTCCAGCACGTTCACCAGCTCCTGCAACACAAAGCACGTCGGCGTCAACGCGCGTCAACGCGGGGAAGCACTCGCCATGCTCCAATCGCGGGCATCTTTCTCACGGCGTCGTCGATGGCTTCGCGTTCGCAGTGCAGCGGGCTGGCTCCGAACGCCGCGCTGTCTCCCTCGCACCCAACGGAACACAGTGGATTTGCCAGAAGACAGGCGTCGGCGGCAGAAACTCTAGACGTGGTTTGAGCTCCAGCGTCGCTAAATGGGACTCGGACCGAACGTGTGACCCCACCAATGGATTCCTCGTTCGGAGAGCAATCCATTGATGGGGTCACACGTTCGGTTCGAGTCCTGTTTAGAGACTCAGGAGCTCAAAACGCGTCAAGAGTTTTGGCCGCCTCCACCGGTCTTCTGGCAAATCCACTGTGCGGAACGCCCCGCGCGTGCGAGAGAGACGGCGCGTGGAGCCCAGCCAGCCCGCGGGCCGCGGCTCGAGTCAACGGCACGCTAAATCTGAATCCCGGTCTCGGCGACGGCGCCTGAGTTAGGACCGAGGGGTACCTCACTTCGTCTAGTCAGTGTACACCCCTGACTCCAGTCACTGCCTTGTTTCAGTCTAGTCACTGAAAAAGTCGGCAAAACCACGTAAATTTGTCCCAATTTTAGTATTTTTGCAACGCATTTCGTGATATTTTCAGTCTAGTCAAAGTGGAAATCGAGTATAGTCACCAGTCAGTGTACACCTGTTTTCGAAGTGAGGTACCCCTCGGTTAGGACTTTCGGTGTGCCGTGCCGGTGCCGGCGGGTCTACAGTGCAGTGTGCAGTGTTGACGCTGGATGTCGTTGAACCGCGCTGCCCGATGAGTTGCCTACCGCCGGCGGGGCGGGGCGGGGAAGTGCATTGTCAACTGGCGCTCCTCCAGTGCGATAGTCCAGGATAGTCCGATCCTCGGAGCGCCGTAGGAATAACAAGCGACGGCAGACTGATTCCGAGAGTCGTTCTCGCCGCCGTCTCCCTCGCACTCACGGGGCGTTCCCGCGTAGGTGCGAGAGAGACGGACCGATGACTCTCGGAATCATCTCTGCCTACTGTGCATCATAGTTCAAAGGCCCCACGACGCGCGACGCGCCGTGCCCCCGCCAGGCCTCTGCCCCGCACTCCAAATATGGGCGTCTATTTTGTAAACCGTGTCTGCCGGCTGGCATGCAGTGGACACATTCCTGTGCCACCACTGGCATCAGTCATGCCTCTAGTCATGCCGGAGCACCGTCAGGAGCGTCAGGAGCGTCAGGAGCGTCAGGAGCGTCAGGAGCGTCAGGAGCGCCAGGAGCGTCAGGAGCGTCAGGAGCGTCAGGAGCGTCAGGAGCGTCAGGAGCGTCAGGAGCGTCAGGAGCGCCAGGAGCGTCAGGAGCGTCAGGAGCGTCAGGAGCGTCAGGAGCGCCAGGAGCGTCAGGAGCGTCAGGAGCGTCAGGAGCGCCAGGAGCGTCAGGAGCGCCAGGAGCGTCAGGAGTGTCATGGTCGCGGGAATCCCTTTCCACCTCACTGGCTGCAGTGCAGTATGAGAAATTTGGCGAAAATCCGACGCGGCTAGACGCGGCTGGAGGAAACACTGGAAACTTGAGACTCGTTGGGCCAAAACGACAAAACGGGGCCCGGGCGTGGTATCGCGGGCAGCGATCTGAGGTCGTCCGTCAAACGACGCGGCCTCGACCGACTAGGACAAGACGGTCCACGCAACTCGACTTGGGCTGAGCGAAATGTCGTCCGCGGCCTAGGCCTTCCCCATTCATCGACGCGGCCCCCTGGGGAGCACACTGGGAGCAGCGCCGCGCAGCGCACAGTGGGCCAGAAGACCGGAGGAGGCGGCCGAAACTCCAGACGCGTTTTGAGCTCCAGGGTCGCTAAGCAGGACTCGAACCGAACGTGTGACCCCAACAATGGACTGCTCTCCGAACGAGGAATCCATTGGTGGGATCACACGTTCGGTTCGAGTCCTGTTTAGCGACTCTGGAGCTCAAAACGCGTCTAGAGGTTCGGCCGCCTCCTTCGGTCTTCTGACCCAATGTGTGGCGTTCCATAGGTGTGAGAGAGGCAGGAGCGACGAAAACGACTCTCGGCATCAGTCTGCAGGGCAGACTGGGCAGACCACTGGCAGGCCTGGCATGGCGAGCAGGTCCGTCTTATCGAGACCAATCGCCGAGGCTGCGCTGCCATAGCGTGGCGTGGGTGTGGCGGGGTTTGCATCACATGTCATAGAGAGGATCAGTGACAGCGGTGCGCCAGGTGACGCTAGGGAAGTGACCCCCAGTGCCTGTCCGTCTGCCAGTCCGTCCGTCCGTCTGTCCGCCGAGGCACGCACAACAGACAATGCTTCATTACGCGCTGCGTATGCAATATACATAACCACGGCCATCAGTCTGGGGGCATCGCCAGTCGCCAGGCAGACGAGCGGACGAATTTAAATCTGAATGTCGATGCGGACGGGACGAGACGGCGCACAGTGGGCCAGGAGACCGGTGGAGGCGGACAAAACTCTAGACGCGTTTCCAGCTCCAGAGTCGCTAAGTGGAATTCGAACCGTACGTGTGACCACACCAATGGATTCCTCGTTCGGAGAGCAATCCATTGGTGGGGTCGCACGATCGGTTCGAGTCCCATTTAGCGACTCTGGAGCTCAAAACGCGTCCAGAGTGTTGTCCGCCTCCACCGTTCTTCTGGCCCACTGTGCGGCGGCGGGGTCACGCGCAAGGAGCACGACTGGCAGGAGTCGGATTCCGAACACTTGGTCGCCTGTCTCTCACGCACTCATGGGGCGTCCCGTTTGCGTGCGAGAGAGACAGAGCGACGACAACGACTCATGGGCAAAGTGTGGCGGAAACCTTACCTGCACTTGCTTCTCCAGGATGGCGTCGACGGTGGCGGTGAGCGCGGCGCGGACGGCCGCCAGGGAGGCGGCCATGTCGGCGGGCTCGGGGTCCGTCTTGGCGGCGTCGCGCTGCAGCCGCTCGCACGCCGTCCTCAGCCTGGCCGCGCGCTCCGAGGCCGCGGGCACGGCGTCGACGTGGTCCTCCAGGAACGCCACCACGTGGCGGACGAAGGCCTCCGTCATGGGCCCCACCTGGTCCAGGGCGCCCCGCTGCACGCGCCTGCAACAAAGCACTCTGCGTTCAGGCCCCAAGTCCGCGATCACCGCACAGTGGGCCAGAAGACCGGTGGAGGCGGTCGACGTGTTTTGAGCTCCAGAGTCGCTACTCTAGAAACTGAAGAGAGTGCATGGCATGCTCCTCCTAGGAGTCAACCACAAAGCACACTCTTCCCAAGAGCATGCTTGCAAGCACACTCTTCCCAAGAGCATGCTTGCAAGCACACTCTTCCCAGGAGCATGCTTTCAAGCACTCTCCTTGCTTGCAAGCATGCTCCCAGGAAGAGCGTGCTTGTCAAGCATGCTCCTGGGAAGAGTGTGCTTGCCAAGCATGCTCCTGGGAAGAGTGTGCTTGCAAGCATGCTCTTGGTAAGAGTGTGCTTTGTGGTTGACTCCTAGGAGGAGCATGCCATGCACTCTCTTCAGTTTCTAGAGTAAACAGGACTCGTACCGAACGTGTGACCCCACCAATGGATTGCTCTCCGAACGAGGAATCCATTGGTGGGGTCACACGTTCGGTTCGAGTCCCATTTAGCGACTCTGGAGCTCAAAACAAGTCCCGGATTTCGACCGCCTCCACCGGTCTTCCGGGCCAATATGCGCTGTGTCCGAGGTTCAGAGTTGAAATCGTGTCCGCTCTTCTTGCTTCGCTAATGCCAACCGGCAAGCGCGGTCATTAAAACGACTCAAGACGATGAATAACGCATCGCAGATCGCAGCCGGTACACTGCGAAGGGGCACTGCTCGGCGCGACGTGGGGAAGACCACCAGGCGATACCGACCATGATTACAATTAGCTACGGTGGTGGTACATACACTGGAAGCTTACGCACGGACGCACGGGGCGTGTTCACCCATCGCCACTCTCCATCGCAGCCAATGCTTCGTCGCTCTCTCTCTCTCTCTCTCTCTCTCTCTCTCGCACACTCGCGGCACGCCGCAAGTGTGCGAGAGAGACAGCGAAGAAAGCGCTGTGGCTAATTCATTTGATTTACGATTCGGCTCCCGTGCGTCCGTTTGCTTATCCACGCAGGTGCGCCAACCCAAACGACACTCTGCGGACTGATTCCGAGAGTCGTTCTCGTCGCTCCGTCTCTATCGCACCCGTGCGGGACGCCATGAGTGCAAGAGAGGCAGAGCCGACAGAGCGGCCAAAACTCTAGACGCGTATTGAGCCTCAGAGTCGAACAGGACCCGAAACGAACGTGTGACCCCACCAATGGATTCCTCGTTCGGAGAGCAATCCATTGGTGGGGTCACACGTTCGGTTCGTGTCCCATTCAGCGACTCTGGAGCTCAAAACGCGTCCGGGGTTTTGACCACCTCCCCCTCCAGTCAGCAGCTCCGAGTGACTCCGCGTCGCGTTGAATTTGCTCCTGCAGGCGGAAGGGTGGGCGACCGCGGGGAAGCTTCGCAGGGGGCGGCTTGTCGAGGGCGGCGCGCGTTATGGCCCCACTGTGCAGCGTCGGAAACGACGCAGTGCGCCTCCTCAAGAGACGCAGACACTCACCCGCAGAGCTTGGTGTACTCGCAGGACAGCTGGTGCGCGCGGCGCTGCAGGTGCCCCAGGCCCTGCGGCGAGGCGAGCTGGACGCCGCTGAGCTGGCGCAGGCCCTTGGGGTCGGCGCCGAGGAGCGCCTTGCTCTGGAGCGTGACGGAGCACTCGGGCTCGCAGGACAGCCGCAGCCCGCCCAGCCACGCCGACAAGGCCCCCGTCACGTCCGTCACCGGCACCGCCGCCACACTGGTCGGAGCGTCGTCCCTGCCGAACAGAAAACGCGAAAAAAGGTTAGGTTGCGTGAAATTAAAACAGTGGGCTAGAAGACTGGTGGAGGCGGCCAAAATTCGAGACGCGTTTTGAGCTCCAGAGTCGCTGAATGGGACTCGAACCGAACGTGTGACCCCACCAATGGATTGCTCTCCGAACGAGGAATCCATTGGTGGGGTCACACGCTCGCTTCGAGTCCTTGCTTAGCGACTCTGGAGCTCAAAACGCGTCTAGAGTTGCGGCCGCCTACATGAGCAAAATCTCCGCCTCGATGCACAACATAGAGTCGAAAGGGATGCCATTCAGCGCCAATCCCGATTTAACAGCAATAAACAATAATAAAAGCGGAGATAAAAGCAGAAACCGGAAGAGCCGCCGGCTGTCTGGCTATCTCTACCGCGAGTATTGGTCTCTGCATGAGCCGGGGGCGGTAAAAAGGAAAGACCCCGCCAATCACGGGGGAGAAAGCCATAGCGCACCGAAACTAACCAGCCGACGGACCAGCTGACCAGCGGTCTGCGGTTCGATCCCCAGCCGGGCCGGAATAGTTTTGGCGCGAAAGGGCGCCGCGAGTTTGAATTCAGATTCACCGCGGCGGGGCGGGGCGGAGCGGGGCGCGAGGACGGGCTATTTACGGCCAGTCGGCGGGTGTTCTCGTCCAGCAGACTGATTCCGGGAGTCGTTTTCGTCGCTCTGTCTCTCTCGCACTCACGGGGCGTTCCCTGCAGGTGCGAGAGAGACAGAGCGACGACAAGGACTCTCGGAATGAGTCTCCAGGGTGGCGTCCAGCACGAGCACGGCACTTACCGCCGTCGCCGTGCCCTGCCCGCGGCCCCGCCCCGGGGAGATGCCTCCACGCCGCGACCGCCGCGTTCGACGCCATGCGGTGCTGATTGGCGGTGATGCTCCCATAGACGCGGCGCGCCGCCGGCTGTCTCTCTCGCACTCACGGGGCGCGCCGTCAAGGTGCGAGAGAGACAGCGCGGTTCGCCGCGTCTCGGCGATTACAAATTAGTAGCCGGGCTGCTCCGGGCCCCGCGGCAGTGCACTGCAGAGCAGTGCCGCCGTCACAACAGAAACACGTTCCTCGTGAAGTGCCCTGGGTTCTGCTGCCGGCCGCCGCACAGTGGGCGAGAAGACCGGTGGAGGCGGACAACACTCTGGACGCGTTTTGAGCTAAGCAAGACTCAAACCGAACGTGTGACCCCACCAATGGATTCCTCGTTCGGAGAGCAATCCATTGGTGGGGTCACACGTTCGGTTCGAGTCCCATTTAGCGACTCTGGAGCTCAAAACGCGTCCGGAGTGTTGTCCGCCTCCACCGGCCCTCTGGCCCACTGTGCGCCGCAGGGCTGCAAAACCGGGAAACCGCGGCACGATGTCGTTCGAAAATCCAAAGCCTCGGGCAGACAAATGCTCGCTACAAGAACGGACCACCAAGCTTGGCTGCATTTCCGTTCCCAGTCCCAGACTGCCACAGTGCTTCACAGTGTGCTTCACAAGGTGCTTCACAGTGAGCTTCACAGTGTGCTTCGCAGTACTCAGCAGCCAGAGTTTGCGTAAAAGGACCCCCTGCCTGGAGGACACGCATGCCCTGCCCTTCCCACCCGAGACCACTCCGTGCACTCCGTGCGACACTAGAGTCGACAACGAGCCACTCCGACAGTTTTGGCACGCTGGTGCTTCTCCGAAGCATTGCAAAGCGTCGCAAGACAGCAGACTGATTCCGAGAGTCGTCTTCGTCGCTCTGTCTCCCTCGCCACAAGAGTGCGAGAGAGACAGAGGGAAGAAGACGACTCTCGGAATCAGTCTGCAGTGCGTGCGAATAGGGTACTTTCGTAGATCCCTGAACCGGAAGCACACAGACGCCATGTTGGCGGAAGTAGATCCAAACTTGACATGGGAAAGAGACGTTCGTCAAAGGTATCGGCCACACTTGAACATAAACAGTCGTTTGATACTTGTTTGCAATGCATATGTGTTTCGCGAGCAATATTTGTACAGCTCGGCTATAGTTTTGGATCCGAAGAGAGGTTAGTTTCCGGCCAATTTGGCGTCTGCTGGTCTGCTTGCTTCCGGTTCAGGATTCTACGAAAGTACCCTATACGCGCAACCCGCGCCCCGCAGTGTCGCCTTCGCCCCCCTCCACTTCCACCTGCCTTGCGCTGTGATAAGCGTGATAAGAAGTGCGTACCGAGAACAGACATTCGAGTCGCACGGTCCGCGAGGCGAGGCGACGCGGGGCGGGGCCGTGTGTACGACAATCGCTACCCCGGCCTTCCTTCGGGAAACTCGAGACGAATCCCTAATCTACCTCTCCGTCTCTCTCTGTCCGAACCCCAAGGCTACCCCGCCCAAGCATTCCTTGTCGGATCCGTGCGAATGATTGCGGCGCACAGTGGGCCAGAAGACCGATGGAGGCGGCCAAAATCCCGGACGCGTTTTGAGCTCCCGAGTCGCTAAATGGGACTCGAACCGAACCTGAGACCCCACCAATGGATTCCTCGTTCGGAGAGCAATCCGTGGGGTCACTCGTTCGGTTCGAGTCCTGTTTAGTTACTCTGAAGCTCAAAACGCGTGTAGAATTTTGGCCGCCTCCACCGGTCTTCTGGCCCACTGTGCTTTGGTTTGACGGGCACTGTCCATGTTCACTCACTTGTCGAAGTTGTTGAGCAGGTTGACGGGGCGCGCGCTCGGCCTGCGCTCGTGCAGGCGCCTCGTGCCGGCGGTCGACGGCCTCCTGGTGGGCGTGGTGGTGGCCACCGGCTGCTGCTGCAGGGGGCTGGCGGACGCCAAGACCGCCTTGGGCGTGGACGTGTGCGCGGGGACGCCGGGGCCGGCGGTCACGTCGAGCAGCAGGTGCCTCTGGATGGTGTCGTCGGGGAGCTCGGTGGCGGCCTCGACGGTGGCCTCGACGGTGTCCTCGCCGCCGTCGGGCAGCGGCCGCTGCAGCACGGTGGTGTGGTGCGGCGTGGCGGGCGTGCTGCAGCAGGACTCCTGGTCCGCGTCCACGGCGTACAGGGCGGAGGCGGCGGGGCCGGGCGTGGCGGCGAGCATGGACACTGGCCGCGCGAACCGCGGGTGCTGCTGCCGCCGCGCCACCGCCTTGCGGTTCTTGATGAAGCTGCGCGGCGGCCGGTGGCACGAGTCCGGCGGCCCGGTCGGCGGGAACGTCTGGTTGAGCAGCGCGCCGTCGGCGTCGGCGTCGTCCTCCAGGGACGTGTCCAGCGCCGCGGACGTGCGGCTGAGGGCGCGGGACGCGCGCTGCAGGCGGCGCAGCTCGGCGTCGCGGCGCGTCTCCTCGGCGGAGCGCTGGCGGCGGTACGCGGGAGGGATGGCGGGCAGCGGCCGCGACTGCAGGGACTGCAGTGACGAGTCGTCCTGGGACAGCCGGCGACGCAGCTCCCCGGGCGTGGCGTGGCCGCCGAACGTGGCCGGGGCCTCGCGGCGCTCCCTCGGCGTCGACGTGCAGGCCCCGCTCAGGCACAGCTGCAGGCGCGTGTGCGTGGGCGACGGCGTGCACGGCAACTGCGCCGCGTCGGTCACCTGCTCGAGCGAAACCAGTAAAACACTTAGTGTTATGCCTCGCCGCGGCCCGCCGCAGTGTTGCCGCACAAGTGTAGCAGCAAATTCCCTGGATGTCCCAGAGTCGAAAGGGTTGCCAGCCAGCCCGCGTGGGCGACTTCTCGGCAGGCAGGCTGGGGTCACACAGTGGGCCAGAAGACGGCGGCGGCGGCCAAATTTCTAGACGCGTTTTGAGCTCCAGGGTCTCTAAATGGGACTCGAACCGAACGTGTGACCCTACCAATGGAATCATCGTTCGGAGAGCAATCCATTGGTGGGGTCACACGACGTTCGGTTCGAGTCCCATTTAGCGACTCTGGAGCTCAAAACGCGTTTAGAATGAGCTATTTTACGAATAAGAAGAAGAAAAGAAGACGCCTACCCCACCCACCCGCACCGCCCCGCTCGGAACATAACAAACCCTCATTTGTTCGAACAAGTGAGGGTTTGTTATGTTCCGAGCGGGGCGGTGCGGGTGGGTGGGGTAGGCGTCTTCTTTTCTTCTTCTTATTCGTAAAATCTCATTTTAGCCACCTCCACCGTTTTTCTGGCCCTCTGTGGGTTGGCATCCGTTTCGAACTGCCTACTTAGGTGGCAACCCTGGTCGTCCATGGTTCTGCCGGCTTACCTCCGGGGATGACGACACCGGGGAGGCGGCGGCCTGGTGCGAGCCATCCGAGTCCGAGAAGCCCGAGTCCTGGCTCTTGTGGGACGTGCTGGGGGAGCTGGACGAGTCCCTGCCGCCCTGATCAAGGCCCTGCTCCTGCACTGGGGGCTGCAGCGCGGGGCTGCCGGGGGCGGCGGCGCCGGGGGTGGCGGGGGCGGCGCCGACCGCCGGCGAGTGCGGGATGGGCGAGCCCAGCGCGGACACGGCCATGTCCTCGTGGAAGCTGGACCAGTACACGCGGCTGTGCTGCCGCCGGAACTCGGAGGACGCCATCACTGCAACAGACAAGGACAGCGATTCGTTAATCCGGGCTCACTGCTAGACATGCTAATTCTCTACGGTCGGCACGCTGGGCACAGTGGGCCAGAAGACCGGCGCAGGCGGCCAAAACTCTAGACGCGTTTTGAGCTCCAGAGTCGCGAAACAGGCCTCGAACCGAACGTGTGACCCCACCAATGGATTCCTCGTTCGGAGAGTAATCCATTGGTGGGGTCACACAATCGGTTCGAGTCCCATTTAGCGATTCTGGAGGTCAAAACGCGTCCGGGATTTCGACCGTCTCCACCGGTCTTCTGGCCCACTAGGGGTGCCGCAGGGGTGCGAGTGAGACAGAGCGACGGCCAGGTAATTATGACGTCACTCCGTGTTGGTTATCCGCAGCGCGGTGATTATTCGCAGGAGGCTGACAGGCTGCCGACTGCAAATAACAGCCGAGCCTCTGCGGCCTGCTTCCGAATGAGTCGCTTCGCCGCTCTGTCTCTGTCGCACTCATGGGGCGTGCCGTCGGGGTGCGAGAGAGACAGAAGGAACGGGTTGGCTGCCAGTCGCACGTCGGTCGTACGTCAGCTGAGAGTCAGCTCGCCTCGCCGATAGCCCGACGGAACGCCACGGAACGCCACGGAACGCCACGGAACGCCACGGAACGCCACGGAACGCCACGGAACGCCACGGAACGCCACGGAACGCCACGGAACGCCACGGAACGCCACGGAACGCCACGGAACGCCACGGAACGCCCGCACAACGCGAACCGATGCCGAACAGTCTCTCTCTCGCAGCACTACGGCACGCCCCGTGAGTGCGACAGAGAGCGCGGCCGCGCGGCGAAACGCCTTTCGGAACAGCTCCGCGGCGTTGCGGGCGTTGCGGGCGTTGCGGGTGGGGAGGAACCCCATTGATGTCTTCATTGATGGAGTACAGTGTGGATGGCGGCTTGGCGGCGCGGAGGTCGCGGCCAGCAGGCCGCACAGTGGGCCCGAAGACCGGTGGGAGCGGAAAAAACTCTAAACGCGTTTTGAGCTCCAGAGTCGCTAGATGGGACTCGAACCGAACGTGTGACCTCACCAATGGATTCCTCGTTCGGTGAACAATCCATTGGTGGGGTCACACGTTCGATTCGAGTCCTGTTTAGGGACTCTGGAGCTGAAAACACGTCGAGAGTTTTGTCCGCCTCCACCGGACTTCTGACCCACTGTGGGCCGACTCCGAGGGTCGTTTCCATCGCTCCGTCTCTCTCGCACCCGTACGGGACGCCCCAAGAGTGCGAGAGAGACGAGACAACCGACTCTCGGAATCGGTCTGCAGCAGGCAGCACCAGCAGTAGGCGGCGCCCGGACAAATCATTATCTTTTGAGGATCAGACGAGTTTATTACGGAACCACTGGAGTTTCGTTTCGTCGCTCCGTCCCTCTCGCACTCATGGGGCGTCCCGTTGGGGTGCGAGAGGGACAGAGAGGCAGCGACGGCAAGACGACGCCCCCGCCAAGGGTTGCGCGACGTGCGCACAGTGGGCCAGAAGACCGGTGGAGGCGGTCAAAATCCCGGACGTGTTTTGAGCTCCAGAGGCCTAAACAGGCCTTGAACCAAACGTGTGACCCCACCACACTCTACAAAAAATGTCCTGTCAACGCCGTTAATTTATTACCAATGTTTGCTGTTATGCAATTCACGGCGTTTGCTGTGAACTAGTTCACGGCGTTCACTGTGATCTCGGTTACAGTGTTCACTGTGATCTGGCCACAGTAAACGCCGTGAATTGGAGCCTGATTTGCAGTACTTCGGTGCAGCGGCGTCAAACTCACAGTGTTTACTGGGGACCAGATCACAGTGAACACCGCGAACAAGATCACAGTGAATCCCGTGAGCAGATCACAGTAAACGCTGTGAATTGACCTACAGTGAAAACTGGTAATAAATTAACGTCATTTACAGGACATTTTTGGTAGAGTGCAATGGATTCCTCGTCCGGAGAGCAATCCATTGGTGGGGTCACACGTTCGGTTCGACTCCTGTTTAGCGACTCTGGAGCTCAAAACGCGTCTAGAGTTTTGGCCGCCTCCACCGGTCTTCTGGCCCACTGTGCGGCTGCCGCTGTTTCGCAGGTCGAACACCGGAGGGCGCTGGCAGTCTTTCTCGGCGCGCGCCTCGCGCCCCGCAGATACGTAGCCGCTTTGGTAGGTGCGTCAGGCTGCCCTTCTCTCTTCCCTCCCCCCTTCCCGAGAGGAAGACTAAATTTTTGCAGGGGTCAGTTCAAATCTTCTTGAACAACCCTATCAATCTTGAATCGATCTACAGTGCAGTGTGAGGGTCACCTGTGTGAAAAGCGTTCGCGGGAGTGACCAGATCTCCAGCCACGTAACCGTGAAAAGCGCAGGTGCGAGAGAGACAGGGACGAAAACGACTCTCGGAATCGGTCTGCGGGTGGCGTTGCACAGTGGGCCAGAAGACCGATGGAGGCGGCCAAAACTCTGGACGCATTTTGAACTCCAGAGTCGCTAAATGGGACTCGAACCGAACGTGTGACCCCACCAATGGATTCCTCGTCCGGAGAGCAATCCATTGGTGGGGTCACACGTCCGGTTCGAGTCCCATTTAGCGACTCTGGAGCTCAAAACGCGTATAGAGTTTTGGCCGCCTCCACCGGTCTCCTGGCCCACTGTGCGGCTGCCGCTGTGTCGCAGGTCGAACACCAGAGGGCGCTGGCAGTCTTTGCCGGCGCGCGCCTCGCGCTCCGCAGATACGTAGCCGCTTTGGTAGGTACGTCAGGCTGCCAGTCTCTTGTCCCATCCCCCTTCCCCAGATGATGGCTAATCAAATTTTTGCAGGGGTCAGTTCATATTTTCTTGAGCGACCCTAATAGTCTTGACTCAACCCAAAGATCGTCAACGGGTGGATCGCGATGGATCGTGCTCGCGAACGTCGGTTCGGGTCGGTTCCGAACCAAACCGACGCGCCGGTTTTGGCCCAAACCGTTGACCAGCTTCGAGTCCCGGCGGCGCTAGAATTTTTTTTCGCGATTTCGGAGCTGCAACCGCAACTAACATTTCACGGCACACATAAATACCGTGGAGATTCTTTTTCAAGAACCTGAAGGGTACCAGAGACCGACAAAAATGTAGGCTTCTGCCGGGACTCGAAGCTGGGCCAGTCGCCGGCTGGGCCCACGCCCGCCAGGGCTTGGCTCGGGACCGACCCGGGCCGACGTTGGCGAGCACGATCCAACGCGATCCACCCGTTGACGATCTTTGACTCAACCTCAAGTGCAGTGTCACCTGTGTGAAAAGCGTTCGCGGGATTGACCAGATCTCCAGCCACGTAACCGTGAAAAGCGCAGGTGCGAGAGAGACGGGGAAAAAACGACTCTTGGAATCGGTCTGCGGGTGGCGTTGGCGTGGGCAGCTTGCGGCTCGCCTCGCCGTTCCCACCGTCACCGCCAGCCTGCAGACTGATTCCGAGAGTCGCTTTCGTCGCTCTGTCTCTCTCGCACTCATGGGGCTCTCCGCGAGGGTGCGAGAGAGACAGAGCGAAGAGACGACTCCTCGGAGTCAGTCCGCTGGCTGCCGCTCTGCCGTTCGTTCGACCAAAGACGAGAAGTGCGAGTGTGCAATTAATCAAACACCACCGCCTTTTTCGGATTTTCCGCGTCGCGACGCTCCGGACTCCGGACGCTGCGAGTGCGAGAGGGACGGAAATAAAACAACGGAGAAGAAACGCGCGCCGTGTCCAGAAGAGCTCGTTTCGTCGCTCTGTCTCTCTCGCACTCGTGAGGCTGTCCATAAGGGTGCGAGAGAGACAGAGCGACGAACGAGCTCGTTTCGTCGCTCTGTCTCTCTCGCACTCGTGAGGCTGTCCGTAAGGGCGCGAGAGAGACAGAGCGCAAACCGAGACGAAGCGGGCAGTGGCGTCGCGTAGCACAGCGGTCCCAAATACGTCCATCAAGAAGTCTGTGTTCGTGACCAGAGCGAGTCATATCGGTGTACCGCTCGGTACCGCATAACACCACGTATCACCGCGGCTGGCTCAGCAGGCTCAGCGAGAGAGAGAGAGAGAGAGAGAGAGAGAGAGAGAGAGAGAGAGAGAGAGAGAGAGAGAGAGAGAGAGAGAGAGAGAGAGAAGAACGTGTATGCGTGTGTCTGCCCGTTCATGGTATTTCCGCGGTGTAGTGGACGCCACTCACCGTCGTTCTGTCTCGCTCGCATTCATGGGACGGACCGCAGGGCCGTGGAGGTGCGAGAGAGACAGAGCGACGTGACTGCACTGCCCACTGGTAGTAGCACGGCAATGTGGGTGGAAGGCCTGCTTGGCGGGTATGAGTTTGAACACGGTTTGTGATTTGTGTTCGATCAAACACGACAGTACCAAGGGATGATTACCCTTTCGAACGTGCAGTCCATTGGTACCCTCATGTGTCCAGTCCTTGTTGGGCACCTCAACAACCATCTGGTTCAGCCTGGAGTGGCAACAGGCCTCTTACGATGTAAATCCATGCGACACAAAGCCGATGATTTAGATCACTCGGCCGCGCTCGGACGAGCGACGTACAAATGGTCGCATTGCAGCGACAAGGTAATTGGTATTTCAAACGAAAACAAAAGTGTAACGAGTCGGCGGCTCCGCGCAGGCTTGCCGCGGTGACTCACGGAGTGCCTTAGTCACATCACGGAGGCACCGAGTCAGCGGTGACGGCGACGAGGACGCCGTGGAGGCACGGAGGATGCGGGCACAGTGGGCCAGAAGACCGGTGGAGGCGGTCAAAATCCCGGACGCGTTTTGAGCTCCAGAGTCGCTAAATGGGGCTCGAACCGAACGTGTGACCCCACCAATGGATTGCTCTCCGAACGAGGAATCCATTGGTGGGGTCACACGTTCGGTTCGAGTCCTGTTTGGCGACTCTGGAGCTCAAAACGCGTCGAGTTGCCGGTCTTCTGGCCCACTGTGGGCGGGGCGTCGAATTCCGTTCCGGGCCGTCCCGATGTCCGCGCCTCGTTGCCTGGAG